TATGCATAACAAGCTCTATATATAACGCATCTAATGACAGAATTAGAATTATGGCTATGAAAACACATACAGTCGGACATGGTTTAACACAATTCTTCCCCTTCTGATCATTAAAGTTGAATGCTATACAGCCGGGAATTGTTCACAACCTTGGCAACATAGGGAAACAAAACATGCTGACTGGTTTAGCATAATCCTTAGATAATATATATATAGCATTTCTTAATATTTCATTGCACACTGAGTTAATCCAAACAAGGGATATATTTGGGAAGAGGGTTTTTTTTTAAAAAAAGGAAAACGGTAACCAAAATAGTAATAGCAGTTAGACTTATATACCACTGTCTAGTGCTTTATAGGACTCTTTAAGCAGTTTACAGAGTCAGCATATTGCCCCCCCTCCAACAATGTGGGTCCTCATTTTACTAACCTCAGGAGGATGGAAGGCTGAGTCAACCTTGAGCCAGTCAAGATCGAATACCTGGCACTGGGTAGAGTCAGCCTACAATATTGCATTCCTGCCCTTTTGTGTTGCATTTGCAGTTTGATTGCATGGGGGGGGGGCATCTTGATTTTTTTGACCCCCTCCGTAGACACCCCTGACTGCAGATTTCTCTACCTATATGAATAGCCCTCCTAAAATCAGTGGGGTTTAATATAGTCGCATCCCTCTGATTTTTAATGTTCTTCATAAACTGTGACTCAGTCTGTACAGCCCCCGCAGATATTTAATATATTATTTCTATTTGTAGACCACCAAATCAGAAGATCCCATGATCTGATAAGATATGCAGGGAATTAAAACATCTGCTGCAGCCGTCATGGAAAACACAATTGTAAACAATACCGAAGAAGTATAATAAGAAAGTTATTATGATATGATTTGGATCAAAAAGGGAGATTGGTTTTATGCTTTGCGATAGAAGGATATTCAGTGTTTGCGAGAGAAAATAGATGATTTTTTTTCTAGTTCTTTTCAATGCTGGATCAGAGTTGCTTTATGACTAGGGGTGATATGAAACTGCCCTAGAAAGAATGCAGAGAAGAGCACCAAAGATCGTAAGATTTAGTCTAGAGTAGGGGTCTTCAAATTTGGCCCTTTTATGACTTGTGGACTTCAACTCCCAGAATTCCTCAGCCAAGCAGAAATAAAACCAAGTAATTTAGACCCTCAAATTCAGGAGAAACAAATCAGTAACCTGCGTAGATCAAGTTAGGTTGCCTTGAGAAATGCCTGTTAAATATTCTATTTCTTTCTTTCCTTCCACCAAAGCAGACTTGGGTTTTTTTTTTCCTTTTTATTTTTTATTTTTTGTATAACCCGCTTGTACTTCCATCAATAACAGCTTTCAGAGTATTCCCTCCTCCATCAATTTGGTATTATCAATCTTGATTGCAATTGGAAGAAAAGCTGTTTCTCCAGGTACCCAACTTTTCAAATAACTCCTGATTTGCAATCACTTCAAGAGAAGTTGGGTGAACTTTCCCCAAAGCACACTAATCAGCAATCAGCAGCCCAATTCTGAATGAAAGGAAATATTTTTTAACCCAATAAATTATTATTTATGTTCGGTCCATATTTTCTGCCCAATCGGTATCCTGTTAATGGTTGCTCGCTCTTGGCAGTTAGCGAGAATCTGAGTCGTGATAGATGTCCATCTTTCATTTAAAAAAGTGGAAACTAGATTTTAGAAGTTCTAGCAGCTTCATTTCCTGAAATTAAAACATATTAATGTCTTTTAGGACAGGGATTGGCAACCGTTTGGACACATTTGAAATGTTAAGAGCATGTGGTGGCTGTTGTCTCAAAATGGTAGCCCTATTTTCCAAAGCACCAGAAGGCAGGACATGAAGGAGAAAACCCAGCTATAGCTAAGGAGAAATTTCCTAACCATGAGAACAATCAACCAGTGGAATGGCTTGTCTTCAGAGGTTGTGGGTGCTCCATCACTGGAGGCTTTTAAGAAGAGACTGGATAGTCATTTGTCTGAAATAGTATAGGTCTCTTGTGATAGCAGGGGGTTGGACTAGATGACCTCCAAGCCCCTTTCAACTCTATTACTGTTACTTTATAGGCTGCTTGCCTGGCAACATTTTCCTAAAGAATTCTCTAGGTAAATAAATACCCAGAGTGCAAGTACTGTAATTGAGAGCTCATAATCTATATGTTTAACAATGGGAAGGCTAAGAAAAAAAAAGATTAGAAACATTCATTGTTTCTAATAGTTTAAGATTTCAAATGTTGTATGAGGCAATAATCTTTGAATTAAATTACTGCCCATGTGAATGATCTACTTAACTCTTGCTGTTTGGTTTATGACTTGAAATAGCTGGGCAAGGAGAAAGATAATTCTCTGGATAAGTTCACACCTCTAAGCTGTCTTTTTAAACACACACACACACAAATCTCTTATTGAGTAATCTACAACGGCTTAAATGCCCACATTGGCATAAACTATACTCTATAACAGTGTTTCTCACATTAGCCATTTTAAGATGCGTGGACTTCAACTCCCAGCATTTCCCAGGTAGCAAAGCAACATGGGTCTATACATGCTCCATGTGGTCAGTTTTTCCAGAGCCGTCTTTCGGTCTGGCTCTCCTCTTCAATAAACTGCAACCTTCTTTCTAAAGCAGTCTCCATTTTGTTTATTCCCGGCTTGGACTGGACTCTGAGAAGATTTTTTTTTTCAACAACGCATTAGGTCTTATTTTCGAGAAAATCCAGTACTAAATGTGTCCATCTGGCTGACGATCTTAACTGGGGCTTATTTTGGTGGGGTGGGGCTTATATTATGAATGTTAGGGCTTATTTTCCAGTTGGGTCTTATTTTCGTGGAAACATGGTACATACTGATTGCAAACACTCGAACGTTGAACATGTGACTGTTGAGATGCTGTAGTTGGTTGTAAATGCTAGACCCCTCTAACTGACCTGCTTACATTTTATTAATTTATTACTGCCTTAGTTGTTTATGTAATCGTTTTTGGGGCCTACCATTCTGGTGGGAGGGGGCCTGCTTGCTTGCTTGCTGGAGGTGTCTTTGCTTTGATTGCGCTAAATTGCCAGGTTCTCAAAACATCTTACCCCTTATGGATTGGCTGGAATTCAAACAGACTGTTGGACACTGGGCGGGGGGAGAAACCATGAATGGGCATTTTTGATGTAACCTTGCTTTGCTCTACTGCTATCACTAACTTTCAAGTGAAAGTGTTGCTTCCCATAATTTGGAAACTGTAAGCTGTTGTTTTTTTTTTAAACAAAAGCCAGAGGTAATGTTATCTGAATAAAAATACAATTTTTCTGGCAGAAGAATAAACTCCAGTTTTTTTATCTAGTTGAAAGGCATAAAGGAGTAGGATGTGCAATTAACTTCTTGAGCTGATTTTTTCTTTCTTTCTTTCTTTCTTTCTTTCTTTCTTTCTTTCTTTCTTTCTTTCTTTCTCACTTTTGTTTTAAATAGAAAGGTGGAAGCTTGCCCTTTGGTTGAGCTGAATGTTGCTGCCTTCGTTGGTTACCATAGGAACAGACCTTAGTTAATCTTCTGTTCATAAACCCAGAGCAATTTACGTGTGTGGAAGTTTGATTATTCAAATTGCTTTTGCATGTGTTCAAATAAATTATAATGACTGATACCAATGTACTTTTATTATCTCTTAGCTTAGTTATTAAAAATAGTTCTTGATAAAAACAGGAGCCTGTCTTCCATCTTTGCTCTTTCTCTGCAACCTCCTGTGTGTGTGTGTGTGTGTGTGTGTGAGAGAGAGAGAGAGAGAGGCACATGTTAAATGCCTTTCTTTTGGCTTTCAAAGAAAAATGGCTTTCCTTGATGTTGCAGCCCAAATAATCACCTTTTCTTCCTCAGTTCCTCATTTTTATAAACGGACGCGGTGGCAGTAACCTTTCCCTGTGTTATATTTAACAAGAAAAGGATGCATGGCGACATGTCGTTCAAATTATGATTCCTTTTCTAGCTTGTCTTCTTCCAAGACTTTTGCATTTTAAGTCCCACTAATTGCTCTAGTCAAAGATCATATCTTGTTAGAAGAAAAAGACTCCATTTTTTGTGAGAATGTGATTTGTACTTTCACAGCAATTATACTTCTCGTCAATGAATTTAAATTCTGAAGAATTTATGTTTTTGTGATTCAAACTTTGTCCTACCTATGGTCTAGCTGCCACCAGCTGAGAACTAGTGAGATAAAGCGCGTTGGAATAGACACTTCATTTAAGGATATTATAATTACTGGTAGTCCTTGACTTACAACAGTTCTTTTAGTGACCATTACTATTACCATAACTCGCTGAATTGTAAATCAGGATTACCTAAAATGCAGTTCATGTGTTTACAACATACTAAGATTGTAGTACAGGGGTCTTCAAGCTTGGCCCTTTTATGACTTGTGGACTTCAACTCCCCCTTTTTCAAACCAATGGTCCTCTCTGTCCAAAATGTGGACTTTGCTGTCTTCAAAAGGTGGCCTTTGTCTTTTAAATGCAGATGGACTGCTAAATGATGGGTTTGTTCTCTCATGGTGTGCCATGCGCTCATGAAGTGGTGGTTTCGTTTCCCCAATGTACAGATCTGCACATGGCTCGCTGCACTGTACCGCATATACCACGTAATGCTCAGGTTGTTTTCTGGGTGTTTTATCCCTGGGGTGGACAATCCCATGATCATTAAGCGAATCCAGCTTCCCCCATTGACTTATCGGACGCTGGCTGGGAAGGTCAGAAATGGCAATCACTCACGTGATCCCAAGATGCTGCACCTGTCATAAATACATTCTGCTTGCTAAGCATTCAAATTTTGATCATGGAAAAGCTGTGACAGTTGTGAGTGTGAGGTCCAGTTGGTGTCATTTTTTTCAGAGTTGTTTTACCTCTGAGCAGTTGCTAAACAAAGGATTGTAAGCCGTTACATCGTAAGGCAGGTTGCATCGTCCTTGTCTTAAAGGAACATCCTTAGAGAGCTCTCTCGCCTTCCTCTCTCTCCCAGGTCTACGAACGAGGAACAAATGTGGACCAGTTTGTGACCCGTTTTCTGCTGAAAGAGACGGCCAATCAGATTCAGTCCTTGCTCAGCTCAGTGGAAAGTGCTGTGGATGCCATTGATGAACAAACCAGTCAGATCAGGTTGGCTTGTGATCTTTACGCCACTCCATATGACATCTAGATAAGATAAGATAACCCTTATTGTCCTTTTTCTGTATGCACAGTGGCACACATTAAATTGAAATTTTGACACACCGCTCTCAAAAACCCACCAACAATATCACCATCCCAAGGATACTAATAACAATGACAATAATAATGATGATGATGATGATGATGATGATGTTACAAAAAACTGCTCTACTTGGAACATCTTATATTTCAAGGAGGTACCTGGTTGACACCTAGGATGCTGGTAGCAAGCCATGTCAACCATCAGCGCCAGCCAATTTGAATGTTCAGTTGACTGAAGTTCATGTTTAATGAATAAAAGATAATAATAATAATAACAACAACAACAACAATAATAATAACAGCAGCATCCAAAAATACCAAATTATCTGTTCCAAATCTAAGGGACAGCTGCAAAGCCTGAGAGCAGAAGAAGATATAACAGGTAGAAGATCATAAAAGAGAGATTCAATCTAGAAGCAAGGAGGAATTTCCTGACTCTAAGAACAATTAACCAGTAGAACAACCTGCCTCCAGAAGCGGTGAATGCACCAACACTGGAAGTTTTCAAGAAGAAACTGGACAGCCATTTGTCCGAAATGGTATAGGGTCTCCTGCCTGAGCAGGGGGTTGGACTAGATGACCTCCAAGGTCCCTTCCAGCTCTGTAATTCTATGAAAAAGAAGCATAAGATGGGAGATGCCCCAAGACAAAGGAGTTTAGGGTACTTCCATTTTTGTTTGTTCCTAGAATATTAGAGGTTTTGGGTTTTTTTTTGAACAAACCCTACGAAGATGCAAATTCACACAAAGGGTGAGGACTAGCTTCAAGATTCAGGTTTCCTCTGTGGAAACTTTAGAAACTGCATCCCCTGGATGCTGAAGAAAAAGAGGGCAAGAAAACCAAAAGAGATTTTAGGAAGCACAGGCTGGTTTTGGGTTTTGCAAATAAAATTAAAATTATATGCCTCACAGCTGCATAAAGCAGCAACTGTCTTGACCAGGACCCAAAAACCAGTTGCTATGGAAATGGGGACGAGATCAGAAGCTGGTATCAAGAGATTTCCTCATTCAAATCATCCTCCCCCACCTCCCGGTCATCTAATTTAAATGGAAGAAAATAAAGAGCAGATCACAAATAGCTGCTTATGAAGGACTTTTTCTACTCCCTCTGGTCCAGTAAAGTAAGGAGAGAGTTGCTCAAGAGACTGAAAAGCGGATGAATTATTCCTCTCTCTGTCTTTTAATATGCATGGTTACTCAGAAGTTTAAATAAAAGAAAGCCAGTTATTCTGGTTGCCTAGAACAGGGGTCCCCAACCCATGACTCATGACCGGGCTGCGGCCTCTTGGCCAGCGGGCCATGGAAATGGCTGGCTGGTGCATGCACACATGTATGCTAGCGCCTGCATTTGCACACAGGCATGAACAGGGCGCTAGTGCCAGGCAGGTGTGCGCGGCCCGTTTGTGTATGCATGAACAGGGCCACTGCTTTCCCATAACACTCACATCTGGGCTGGGTGACTTATGCTCACCAAACTGTGGGCTTCCTCCTCCATTCCCTTCCCACATGCCTGGGGTCTCTGGACCTCTCTTTCACCTCTGTGCGTTTTCTGAATGCACTGAGCAGGTCAGGGCTGCTGGCCTGACCAAGCCCCAAGGTTGTCCTTAGATTCTGACGTGACGATTCTGAAGTGAATTGCAGCTCTCTTGTTGGCTTTGATATAAGACAGACATCTCCCAGCACCTTGAATCAAAAGCACCGGCTGCCACGGATTTGGCTGCAGCTCTGTTTTGAAGTTTCCAGTCTTTGAGGCCTCCGATAGCTACTAAACTCCAAATATTATTGTTAAAAGGCAAAAAAAGAGATGGTTGCGGAGCAATCATCTGCCCCCACTCATGTTCAATTATTTCCTTCCCAGCTTGACCTTCTCCTCTCGCCATCAAGAGAAGCTCGCCAGTAAGAAAATTGAAATTTCTCAGGCATCTCGCTCCTTCCTTCCTATTTTAAGCTACACTGTCCCTTTTGATGCCGGCATCGGCCTTGAGCCAATCTATATTCATGAGAGTTGACTTAAAAGGCACGTCGCCCGAAGATAAGATGCTTCAAATCTTCCTGGCCTTGGAGGGTGGCTATTAGCACTGTGCAGCGGTTTCATGTTGAGCAAATCGCAGTTCGCCAAGCCATCCATTCAGGCTTCAGGACAGGATAGCATTCTCTACAAAGTCTGGATAATGGAAGCAGGAGGCATCAGAACGTGGCTTTAGTTTTCAAATAAGGGAGACGCTAACTCAGCATGGAGAGAAGCATTTGCACATCACATCTCCCCTTCCCACTGGGAGGAGGGGGGACAGCATGTGAACATATGGAATATGTTTCCTTTGCTGTTAGTACAAAAGGAAAGTCCCCAAAGCGAGACGACCATATCAGTGGGATCTCTATTCAGCTCACAGGATTGCAGTGAGGGAAAGTAGAAGAAAATACTTTATATGGCAATTTCTGCTTCTAAGAACACAATTAAAATAAACAGATGAGGCAATTTGCTATGCGATGTAAGAATTTGTTCCTGTCTGTTGAATTTAGATCTAGTTTGATACATCTCATGAACCTCAAGTTGGAGAAGGGGCAACTTTTAGCTGAAAGCTTCGTTCTGATTCTTGGTCTGACGGTGTTGTAATAAACTCGATTATGTACAGCCAATTGAGCTATATTAGAAAGTTATATCCTCCATGACATTTCTCAATCCATTTGTACGTCATTCTTTCATTCTTTTTTCACGCCTTTCAACTTTTTAAAAGGGAAACTACTTTGTTATGGTTCTAAGCAGCTTCTGAGCTAGCAATGAATGTTGGGCATGTTTTAATGAAGGGTTTTTAAACCATAGAACTGAAATAAACATCAAGCATTCACTCCCCTTTTCCATCTGGTCATCTGTCTATCCTTCTCTCATATAGACACATCCACAGTAAATCTGGCCACAATGCCATGGATAGTTGGTATGACAATCCCGTCTCTAGTTATTCTCCCAATAACAGAATCCTGACTAAAGAACGGAGGAAAAGTTTCCAGACTGGTAAGTCTTCTGGGTTGATCCAATTTGACTAGGTTGGTGGTCAAAGAAAGCTTTGATCGAGGGGAACTTGTATTTGAAGTTTCCAGGAATCTGCCTTTTGAAATACACTCGGTACCACGCTGTGAGAAGTCAACGCTCTCTGGATGAGTGAAAAGGGGGTCACAAAAACCATTTGCAATCGGGCCAGTTTGAATTTTATAAAGATAACAAGCCCTTTCTAGCAAAATAATACCGGTAGAAGGGATGAATTGATCACTGTAGGACAATTGTTTGCTTGTATATTTTTTTTAACTCTAGTTTTTGACTCCTTCCTCTTCAAAAGGAAATTGAGCTGCTTAGGAGTGGGGAAAACATGTGTGGCCTTGCAAATGAGTTCAGATTGCTAGGCCCCATCATCCTGATATGGTCCGTGCTGCCTGAAATTGGTTAGACATGGAGTCTAACTAAAACTGTATTTTGATGCGATAGATGAAAAGGCTGTTAGGGTTCCCTGTTGCATCAACAGAGTGAATTGTTCATCCTTTGTTCTGTTTCAGCTGGGCCTCTTCTGGAGTCCGGTTCTGGGTCCAGTTCTGAAAGCTACCAAATGGAAACCTGACTAAAGGAGAACAACAAAGATAATAAAGTGCCCCAGATCCTCTAAGGCAGGGGTGAATAGAATATTCCAGAATAGAGTTGGAAGGGACACTGGAGGTCTTCAAGTCCAGCTTCCACAGTGCCATCTGTTCCCATCAAAAAGCTTCATCGTTGAAAATATTTGAGCATTGGACCTCTTCACCTGCAGGTCCAAGTCTTCTCCATTGTCCCCAAGGTGGCTTCTTCTTTATACTTCAACTTCCAGAATTCCCCCTGCCAGCATGAGTGAACCCATGGCTGGCTGGAGAATTCTGGGACTTGAAGTCCACAAGTTTTACAGTTGCCAGGGTTAGATACCCCTGCTCTAAGGTACGATTGAAAGAGCTGATTGTACTGTATATTATCTGGAGGGGGGAAAAACGACAACAAGGAAGCCTTATCATTACATCAGGATAAAACTTTTAGCTGAGTCATTTGAAAGGATAGGGGGAAAGGCTGCAGGTTTTTTGAGTTTTGCAGAACGTTGACTCAGAGATAAGGAAGACGCCACAGTGTATGGAAAAGAGGTCAAAAGAATCAGCCCTGGGATAGCTGCTCTTCACCACCTTCCGTAAGGTGGAATTGCAGGCCGAATGCATTAATTGGAGAGAATATACTCCATGTCAAGTGACAGGGAGCGTTTGGGGGTCAAAGAAAATGGTACCTTCTCCTTGTAAAGTGAAGGACCACTTTGAGGACGATTGAGGAGATTTAGAGATGCAAGTGAATGGGTCCAAATATTTCCACAATGAACAGGTGATGGGAACAGGTTGCACTGCTCTCTGTTCCAGTTCTTAAACAGAAGACGGTTTACGGAGGATGTTATATGACAGAATTTCTTTTATTTCTAGAGGGTGGGAGGTAGGGTGGGCCAATCTGATGAAAACGTAAGTACTCAGTTCTCAGACAAGTCCAAAAAGAGGTATAAATTAATAATGTCCAAAATGGTATAGGGTCTCCTGCTTGAGCAGGGAGCTGGACTAGAAGATCTCTAAGGTCCCTTTCTCTGTTATTCTATCTTTTATGTTCTAATTACCATGTAACTCCCTTTCCTGCCCTACCTTCCTTTTGGTCCTTTTTATTGTGTGTTTAGCCTAGCTCATCCATGCAAGCAAGTTGAATTTCTTCCTCTTTAATTGAGTTTCTTTTTCGGTAGCATCTTCAGACACCAAGGAGGAATGCTTGGAAGCACAAATCAACAGGTTAGCAGAGTTGATCGGAAGGCTGGAAAACAAGGTGAACATTCCTTTTTCTTTTTTTTTTTTAAAGCATTTTCTTGACAACGGATAACTCAGGGAGGTGACTTTGAAAGGTTTTGTTTGATGGGGAGATAATGCTCATTATATAAAAAAAAGTTTATGCATATGCTAGAGCCATATTTCTCAACCGTGGCAACTTTAAGATGGGCAGACGTCAACTCCAAGGATTCCGCAGCCAGCAAGGCATGTTATTCTCCATCTGAGAAGAATCAACCCAACACTGATTCTTCAAGACCAAGAAGCCTTGACAGACCTGTTCTCCATGCAGTATCTGTGGGCACCACAGCATTCATAGCAAACCCAAGAGACCCTCACTTCCCCTTGCCATACCAAATAAAGAAATAAAGAAAAAGAAAAAAGCACGGCTGCCTCAGGAATTCTGGGAGTTAAACTCCACGAGTCATAAAAGAGCCACAGTTGCCTACCCTGCTCTAGGCCACTGGGTGAAATGGAAGGATGGTACCTGAGATCAAAAAGGGGCTACTGATTCCTATTTTACGTGCCGCCTGGGAGCTTGGCCAACCCATGCATTATTTGCTGCTCTCCTTCCAAATCATTTAGCTGAGCTCTCAGCCACAACTTATTGTGAATCTTCCATTTGTTTTCCGTCTGAAAAGTTTAGAGTTAATGTAGGAGAAAATTATTCCAGCCCACTCTGTTTAATGAAAGTGCATCCCACTGTTTAGCTAAGGGTTGAAAGAACAATGAGGGGGGAGGGGGGAACCCCATCTTGTCACTGTTCTTGAATCTTCCAGTATTTGCTTCAGATGAACGAGCCAAGTTCGAATAAAGGAAGAAACAGAATAAAAATTTCACTACATTATTAACGCCACGGATGTTCATTATTTTCATCTCTTTATCACATCTCTCCCTACCTGCCACCGTCCCAAGCTAAAAAAAAAAAACCAGGTTATACTGGATCCAGACAATGAGACTGTCCAAAAATAAATGTGGCTGAAGAATTCTGTTTAAGAATGGTACGAAGACCCCCTGCATTACAGCTTCCCCATGGTCACGTGATCTAAATTTGGGCACTTGGCACCTGGCGTGTATTTATCATGATTGCACGGGAACTCTGCTGGCTGCTAGGGAATTCTGGGAGTCTTAAAGTCACGGTTGGACATCCCTGCTGTAGCTAGAGAGTTCCAATCTCTCAGGGGCTGCCCCAAAGAAGAGGGGGTCAAGCTATTCTCCAAAACACCTGAAGAAGGCAGAACGAGAAGCAACGGATGGAAACTGAGCAAAGAGAGAAGCAACCTAGAACTAAGGAGGAATTTCCTGACCGTAGGAACAATTAATTAGTAGAATGACTTGCCTCCAGAAATCATGGGTGCTCCATCAATGGAGGTTTTTAAGAAGAGATCGGAGAGTCATTTTTCTGAAATGGCAATAGGATCTCCTGCTAGAGCGGGGGGAGGGGGGGTTGGACTAGAAGACCCCCAAGGTCTCTTCCAACTCTGTTATTCTGTTTTTCTGTGTCTTGGGGGAATCTTGCCGAGAGCTCTTTTATCTTGGCATTTCCACAAAAGGGTCTTTCTCCCCAGTGAGGGAAATCTTTTGCCTTTATATGTTGCCAAAAGTGGTTTTATTCAATTTTGATCTGTTACCTGTGCAAAAAAGATGTCTTCACCCCATGGAATTTTTTGCAGCTGTAATTATAAGGAGAACTTTCATGGCTCGGGGCTAGTTTTGAGAGTTATTGCAAGAAGCACTTTGTAAATTCCCTCTGCTTTTAGCACTGTGCTGAGGAATACACCTGGGTAATATGCCTTTGTTGTGTTAATGTTGAAATAAAGCAGATTTCTGCTGGCTGGGGAATTCTGGGAGCTGTTGAAAAAACAGTGCTGTGAAGGTACAGCTCTATAGAGATTCTGAAGTGTCCAAGCCGACATTTAATTATTGTTCTAAATCCACAGGCAGCTGCATTCACAGAATCCAGCCCTTCCATCAAAATGGCCTAAGCGGTGTTACGACATGAACGCCGTCCCTTTTGTGCACATGTGCAACTTCACAAGACATGCACAAAAGCCTTGTGATGCATCTTTTTCATTCTTTCCCACCCCCACCCCCTACATTAGGAAGCAAGAGACCGTGAGTTCAAGTCCCGCTTTCGCCATGAAAGCCAGCTGGGTGACCTTGGGCCAGTCATTTCTATCAGCCCAGCCCCCCTCGCAGGAAGATGTGTTTGATAGGTTCACCACCTGCTCTACAAGAACCCCTGCTCTACAAGAATCTGAACTATTAACCATCAAAGAAAATTAGGAGTTAAGAAAGGAATTCAAGGTGGACTGGATTTAGACCTCTTGTAGGCACGAAGAGACTCAAGACTGATGGCACGTTTCACCCCTCCCTCGGGCTCAGCCCTCATCTACTTTTTTTTTTTAATCTTCTCTCTTTTCATGGGTTGAGCATATGCACGATGAGAACACTTGAATCTGAGTAGCCTCTTTGGGAAAAGTCATTTGTTGAAATCTTGCATTACTTCCTTTTATGTTGTCATAACAACTCGAGGGAGAGGATAACCTCCATAAAACAATGATTATTCTTACTTTATTTTTGGAAAGTAGTTGTCAAGGTAACAGAGGTTGTTGTTTTTTCTTAAAAAAAGTACAAAAATTAGCCAACATTTTGTGGGCTTTCGACTTTACATTTCTAAGAATTATTTTTGAAATAACTGCAAGGTTACCTTTGCCCCCTGTTGGAAGACAATATATCCATTCCTGGCAGAAATTAAAAAGTGGAATTAGATGAAGAGGAGGAATTTCATAGTTTTGAGGATTCATAAAGCGTGACTACTTGAAGCATTTTGATAACGAATGTGGGAAGAGTCAAAACAATTCAAGGGAGCGGCCCCTCCCCATTTGTAACAAGTGAGGTAGACAAAAAAGAGCACAATCTTGACAAGGTTGATGGCCTCAGTTGTAGTGGTGTGATGAGTGCACCATTGGAAGACCTGAAGGAGCCTATTCTCCAAAGCACCGGAGGGCAGGACAAGAAGCAACGGATGGAAACTAATCAAGGAGAGAAGCAACCTAGAACTAAGGAGGAATTTCCTAACAGTTCGATCGATCAATCGGGAACAGCTTCCCTCCAGAAGTTGTGGGTGCTCCATCACTGGAGGTTTTTAAGAAGAGACTGGACAGCCATTTGTCTAAAATGGTATAAAGCCTCCTGCTTAATCAGAGGGTTGGACTGGAAGACCTCCAAGATCCCTTCCAACTCTGTTACAGTCTATTATTCTGACCATTTTGGTAACAGAGGATCATGGAGAAAAATTTCCCCAGGCAAATATCTCCACCTAAAATTGTATAGTCTGAAAGTTCACAGCCCCTCGTTGCGTTTTCCCAAGGGAAAAAGGGAGAAAGCTTTCTTCTCCATCAGAAGTTCAGCCAAGGTGACCGTTCAGCTTTTAGTAACGGGGAGATTAGACAGAAACTCTTGCTGGTCTACTGCCAATCACACAGATTAGATCCAAAGCCTTTCATCCCTGATTAACATCTCAGGTTTTCGTGGGAGAAGTTACCAGCCAGCTGCTTTCTTTCTTCCCTCCCTGCTGTGTTTGATTTCCATAAAATTATTACTAATAATTTTCTCCCCAACAGACTCTTTGGTTTGACCTGCATCAACGGCTGTCAGACAGCGAAAACACGGCCTGTGCGGTGAGCGTCATTTTTTTGTTTCATCCCATATGGGGCTATTGGGATTGAGAGAGAGCATGCTGCTTTTCTGTGGGTGCCCCTTCCCTTTCAGAGGACAGTTAGCCCTGAGCTTTCCATGCGTGAAAAGACCAGCGTTGTTGGTCACTGAATGCTGTTGTGCTTAGTGTCAGGTCAATGATCAGGTGCCCAGGCAATTGGCTGTTTTGGATCCAGAGACAATAAGCCCATCGGTAAATAAAGGGATTTAAGCTTTGGCATGCTGTTCTGGGCCACAGCTGCCCCCAAAGCCACTGCAGTCCTAGGCTGCCTTGACAGAGAGATAGAGTCTAGGTCAGGAGAAGTGTTACTACCACTTTATAAGGCCTTGGCAAGGCCACCTTTGGAATACTTGGAACTTGGAACAGTCACGAAACAAACTGTTGTAACTCAAGGAGTACCTGTATACAAAGCCATCCCAAGAGAAGAGCAAAAAACTCAAATGGATTGAAACATCCTGTTTCTTCCTTGGGAAAAAACCTGAGAACTTAAAAAAAAACAAAAACCGAAGCACTCTAAAGCTTTAATTAAAAAAAAAAGAAGAAGACTCAGCCGAAGGGGGAAAAAACTGGCATAGAATAATAGAAGCAGATAAAAATAAAAAGAATATGGCCTTTGGGGCTAATATCATGTTCCACCCAGCAAAATATAACCAGAGTAGCAAGTATAATTTCTGCACAGCTAGAGGAAGAAAATGAAGCATTTAGTGGAATCTCATAAGATCTCATGCAACCAGTTTCCTCCTTGGAAATCAATAAGCCATTAACTTTATTGACAAAGGGAAACTAATAATTGGGAATAGATTCTAGCTGAGCTATTAAAAGCCAAAACCAACCAGTGAGCTTCTGCATTCACCAGATCAAAATCTAGTTATCCAAAGGCTGGCCTCACTCTGGAACTATTCTGGTCTACAAAAAATAAAAATATTTATTTCTATGGGTGACCAGCTTTGAGATATGAGCAAAGTTAACTGTGGAAAGATTGCTTTTCTAAACAAATGTAGTTGCTTATGATTAAGGAGAGAAGCAGAGAAGGAGAGAAGCAACCTAGAACTAAGGAGAAACCTCCAGACAGTGAAGACAATTAACCAATGGAACAACCTGCCTCCAGAAGTTGTGAATGCTCCAACAATAAAAGTTTTTAAGAAGAGATTGGACAGACATTTGTCTGAAATGGTATAGGGTTTCCTGCCCAAGCAGGGGGTTGGACTAGAAGACCTCCAAGGTCCCTTCCAACTCTGTTGTTGTTGTTATTCACAACTGAAATATAAAAACAGACTTGGCCAGATTGCTTTTATTCTCTCAAACTGCTCCTCAATTCAATCACCAATGAACAGTTCGTTTATGACCATTCACACTTACAATAGCACTGAAAATGGTGACTTATGACCAGTTTTCACACTTACAACCATTACAACATCCCCATGGCTATATGATCAAAATGTGGAGAATGAGTTTAGGGTGGGAAAAATAAGAGACTTTCTGGATAGAGGAGGCAAAGATTTAAGAAATAGTGCCATTTCCATGGCATTTTAATTCTTTTCCTCTTTGTTTCTGTGATCTCTATATGTTGTTTCAGTACCTTCTCTTGGTACGGAGTGAACTGACCGTTTCCCAGAAGCACCTGGGAGAATTCTGTGCCTCCCTTAAGCAGTACTTGAAGACTGTGGCTGGAGAACAGGACTGCTTCCAGTAAGTAGGACTTGACCTCTACAGGAACTGGTGACATGGCACATTCTGTTCAGTTCACTAAGTGAACCGTTGCAAATTGAGGACTATCTTTAGTATTGAACGTGATAGAGGAAGCTGCTTCTTGGATGAGTTTACTTACCGGGGTTATCAGTTAAAGCGCGGGTAACTGCATTCACACAAGTTTCCTCTTCTTGCTGGGGGGGGGGGGGAAGGGGAGAGAGAAGGCTGCAGCTTATGCTGTTTTGTACATCCAACCTGTTTCATTAATTTTGGGTTGATGAATCATCAAGATGTGGTGGGGTTTTTTTTTAACAGGTGGTTTCCCCTGCTTTTAATTATTGACCCAAATGTGTTTCCTCCGTTGCAGCGTCACCGCAGTCAGGCTTCCTGATGGGGTCACTTTCATTGTCTACGAGTTCTGGGAGAATGAGGAAGACTGGAAGAGGTAAACTGAAAACCGTAACCGCTGTCTCGATCTATTTTCTGTTTTTCCAGTCCCTTCTATTCGAGCCGCCCATGTTCTGAGTCAAGAAACCAGCTGAAGTTCTTCTCCATCCTTCTCCTTTCCTTATAAAAAAAGAGGTTGAGACTCTAGAAAAAGTGCAGAGAAGAGCAACAAAGATGATGAGGGGACCGGAGGCTAAAACATATGAAGAGCGGTTGCAGGAACTGGGCATGGCTAGTGTAGTGGAGAGGAGGACCAGGGGAGACAGGATAGCAGGGTTCCAGTATTTGAGGGGCTGCCACAGAGAAGAGGGGGGGGTCAACCCTGTTTTCCAAAGCACCTGAAGGCCAGACTAGGAACAACGGATGGAAACTGATCAAGGAGAGATTCAACCTAGAAATAAGGAGAAATTTCCTGATTAATTGGGAGAACAATTAATCAGTGGAACAGAAGTTGCCTTCAGAAGTTGTGGAGCTTCATCACTGGAACCTTTCAAGAAGAGACTGGACTGCCATCTGTCAGAAATGGTGTAGGCTCTCCTGCTTGGGTGGGGCGTTGGAATAGATGACCTACAAGATCTCTTCCAACTCTGTTACTCTGTTACCTCCACAGACACCTCCAGAGTCCTGTCTGTAAAAGCTTCCAGCATGTAAAAGTGGATACGCTGAATCAGCCAGAAGGAGTTTCCAGCGTGTCGGTGCCAGGTCTGAACCCTAAGATTGTTGACAACACTAAGCTCTAGTGTGGCCTTGGTGTGGAGACAGGGCTTGCATGTCTGAGTATTTGGATAAAAATAAATGTTTCCTTGGAAACTAGCTTGAATCCTGACACATCCCTAGTTTTTTTGGCAATGGAATAGAAAGTGGTCTGGTATTGCCTTCTTCCAGGGTGACTGTTCAGTTTCCCATTATAGATACAACACTGGCTTTTCCTGGTGGTCTCCCATCCTATTACTATCCATGGCTGATGCTGCTTAGCTTCTGTGTACCTAGAAACCTTGGTTTTGCTGAAGCCACGGCATATAATACCAACTCAAAGTGGATGTGATTTGTTCACTATACGAGATTGCATTGAATTTTTGAAGGCCAAATGGGCTGAGTCAGCTTTACTAGCTGAGTTCCCACAACATGCTGAAACGGGTTGAAATGGAACCCGACGGTTCATGGCTCAAGGGGGCCCTGTCACTGTTCAACAGGTTATGTGAAGGAGATTGTTGTGGAAGGACATGTCTTGAATAGACATTCCAAGTAACGTAACCATGGGAATGGTATTTTGTTAACCTGGATTTAGATGTTGCGTGAAGCCAGTCTTGCTGGCAGCAAAGGCAGGCAATATATATAATTCCCTACTCCTTTTTTTTTTCATTGTAGCTGCCTGGTGCACCCTCAACCGGGACTGAACTGGAGAAGACAGTGTCTCAAAGGGAAGTTCAGATGGGTCCCCTTCTCCTTGCCTGGCGGGTGCCAACGTCCTTTCCTCTCTTCATCAGAGAAGCACACTCTTACCTTTTCTAATAACTTCATTACCAGTGTCGTCTCTTCTCCCTCCCTTCCTTCCAATGCATTTCTGTCTAGAACTGAGATTTGTTGGCTCTTTGAAGTGAAGGAAGGAACAACAAGAAGTCAATCTTCCAACCAGCCCTTGGCCAGAAAACCATTTTTTTCTCCCCTAAGCTGTACCCAAAACCTCTAACAAATTCTGGTCCAATAGCCACCAGAGAGGAGGGCTTGATTGCAAGCTTTAATGGAGCCCTGCTGAGAATGTATGGATAAATTTAGATGAATTCTTCCAATTCAGATTTTCATCAAGGGTTTTCTTCCGATCAGATGGGTTGTGATGGTCTGCTTTGACAACCACATCCGGTTCAGGAATTCTGGGAGTTGAATTCCATGAGTCATAAAAGAGCCAAGGTTGCCTCCCCCTGGTCTGGGCTGTGTGTGATAGATGCCTTGCTCTCCCTCAGCCTCTATGACTTAGAGAGGAATGGTGGCTGGATTGTGGGTAAAGCTCTACCAGAGATCCTCATTCAACCATCTACTTCTAGCAAACTTCCAGAGTCTTATGAGATAAATAGCTCTTACCATTTTGTTTTTTAGGGTGGTTAGCATCAAAACACCCATAGCCTACATTTCAAATTATTTTCTTGCATAAAAGGGTGGGCAACTATTTTTCCCCCATGAGATGTAGCTTTCCTTGAGAGTAATTTCTGGTATGCCCAATGCTTGGAAAATGGAGTTGAGGCAAGGAGTGCACAGAACAGAACAAAAGTAGGTGGGGAAGTAGTCTTTTCGATATGCACACCCAGGGGTGTGCTGGTCAACGTAGAACTGGCTGTGTCAGGTCCAGTGCCACACTGCTAACCACCAAAACACCTGAGTGCCATTCTGGCCACCCCGATTCTGCTCTGCTCTCAACCAACTGACCCGGGTGATTGAGTATCTCCACAGACATCGTCTTCTTGTCCACCCAACCACTTATTCCAACAGGTTGGCACTGAGCACTCCTACAGAATCTGAATTATTCAGAACTGTTTCCAAGTTTTTTTTTTTTAAATTAGTGATAAGAGCTGCATGAGACCCTTGGAAAAACACACCACCCACCTTGCCTTATTCTTGCCTTACCTGACCGTTGAGTTCTCTCGTTTTACCACCGTTGCATGAGTCAATCAAAATAAGCCTTGATGTATTTGGACTTATCTTTCCCCCCGCACTGTAGAAAAAGTAGCACTATGTTACTTTACCAAATCATGCGAATTTTCTTCTCCAAACCGAAAACGGTTGTTTCTAACGAGACTGAAGCAGGCACGATTTCATAGAACAAGGGAGCCCCCCCTCCCCCTCCCCACCTCCTCACCTCTTTCTCCGGGAAATGTGGCTCATGTATTCTTCATTTTGACTGTAACCTTTGATAGCTGATGTGTACTGTTTTAGAAATAAAATGATGTAGCGCTCCAGTTTAGCACGGATGGCACAATGTCAGTGTTAGCAAACATATAGAATATAAATATGTGCCGTTGTATACAATTGATGACTAAGTACAAGTAATCAAATAAAAATGAAAAAGATTAAAAGAGACCTTTGGGTTCGCCTTCATTTCCTCGCCGTCTCTCCTGGTAAGACCCCTGCTTCTCAACCGTGGCAGCTTTCAGATGCATGGACTTCAACTCCCAGAATTCTCCAGCCAGCATGAATGCGGCTCTTCGACTTGGTTTGCGCTATGGATTCTACCATTCTGATTCACAGGGGAGAGTTCATGCTCAGAGTAAGGCCATCCTGATAACATCTGTGCTTGTCCAATTGTCTCCGATAAGCAAAGATGCAAAGAGCAGGTGGATTTCAGGTAATTAGACTGTCTTGTCACTCTGAACCATCGACTTACAACTGCAGTTGAGCCCAAAATTTGAGTTTTGCCCCATTTGATGACCTTTTTTTGCCACTGTTATTAAGCGAATCAAGAATAGAATAGAATAGAATAGAATAGAATAGAATAGAATAGAATAGAATAGAATAGAATAGAATAGAATAGAATAGGACTTCGGGAAACGGCATCCACACAGAGAACCAGATGTTCACTTATCTGAATCCTACCACTGCATGTGGGATGCTGTAATCCATTATAAATGTGAGCCACCCAAATTGCGTTCATGTCACTACAACAGTCATAAGTTTGAATTTAGTCAGAACTGACTTTTTAGGAGGCTGTTATTAATTGAAACCCTCATTAAGCAAATTGCCATTAGTTGAAGACTGTATGTAATGTACAATAAAGCCTGCCCAGGACCCACAAGAATATTCCACAAGAATATTTAAAAACAGTTCCATCCAATAAGAGAGATGACTAACATATCACTTTTATTAAGAATACTAGATAGATAAAATGTGAACATGAGTTAAATTATAACCAGATCTTCAACGTAGTAAAATCTCAGTTTAATGGGCCATTTAAATGTCACTATTACGTCTTTTTCATGATGTCATGTTCATTGCGAGACAAATGATATAATGACACCAATGCCGCCATTGTGCATAACAGTGCAACTGCTGTCAATTTTACAGTGTGAATCATTGCATCGGGAGGCAGAGGAAATAGCATCAATTGTCTGCATTATTTGCAATGCAGGCGGACTTTGGTTTGTTAAATGCCGGTGCTGCAATTCTTTGAAACTCTTTGCCTCCAAAGTCTGCTAAACTGAGATTTTACTGCATCTATCAAGGGCGCTGAGCATTGCCTCCCAATAGTCCAGTTGTGAGTGTTTCGTGGATGCAACATCACCTTTGCTGATGACTTTGGCTAGAGTTTGCGCAATATTGCCATGATGGCCGATGCTGTACTTTGTCCAAAGATGAAAGCTCCACAAAGGACAGTGATGATCCCCCAGGTAATTAGGCAGGACCTGCGAGTAAGTGGGTAAAAGAATCCATGCTATGCCTATCTTCTACAAAACCTGGATGAAGATCCAGGTTTTATAGAAATACCCAAATCTTCATTTGCCTCAGTAAAATGCAGCAGGAAGAATCGTGGAGACATTTTGCATATGGTTCCATTAAGGGAGCTGCTTCGCAGCAACGCAGGAAGGCTTCAATATATTTGATGCCTAAATTAGATAATTGGGGAATGGAACCAGCAATTAATTAAAGCAACTAAACCGTCCATTCCTTATTGTCACCAAACTTGGCTGAGGGATTGGAGTTGCTAAACATACTTGGTTCTTGGCCTGAAGGGTTCTGTCTCCATTGCAAACACCAAACATAGCCCTGAAATAAAATAGGAAGCATTCAACATAAACAATTCCTTAAAGATCTGTGGTGGCACAGTGGTTAGAATACAGTATTTCAGGCTAATTCTGCCCACTGCCAGCAATTTGATCCCGATAGGCTCAAGATTGATTCAGCCTTCCATCCTTCCAAAGGCAGTCAAATTCCTAGGAGAGGAAAGACACATTGACCTACCTGGAAAGATGAAGATGAAGAAAGCCCCAATGCCACCAATGACGCTGACCACCTCGCTGATGTCAGGCACACACAGGGCGATGATGAGGGTGACCACCACCCAAGCAGTGGTCAGCAGAATTCGCATGCACTTCTCACTGTTCTCCATCTGGATACAGCCCTGCTTGGAGCCGAGGCAAAAATCTTGGAGGACGGACCTAAACGGTTATATTGGGGCATTTATCTAATGACTCAAGAATCTGCTGACACCTTAAACATTAATCCATTTATCCCTTTAGATCCAGGGTGTTGTTTTTCTGAAACAGACCAACACCTCTGAAAAGCTTAGGAATTATTTTTGCTTCTCACCTTCCTAGAAAAAGGACAATGGGGTAGATGGTGATAATGGAGATGCCAAATAACAGCCGAGCTACAATAACCACTACATCATTTCCTGGGTAAGACATTAGGATGTCAGCAGCAACGTCAGCGCCAAATGTCAAGTAGCCATACAAACCTTGCGGGGAAATAGACCATTAGGTTATAACTAGACAATCTGACCTGATAGGTCATCATTACAGAGAGATTTCCAGTGCAGGTGGGCTGCTGCCCATTTATATATAATAGCTTGCCCTCCAGTTTGGGGAGGGGTTTTAGAATGGAATAGAATAGAATAGAGCTGGAAGGGACCTTGGAGGTTTTCTAGTCCAGCACTGATGATGTTATGTAGCTTGGGTAATGAAATGTCTCCAAGAAAACAACTAAGTTCAGAGAGCAGCAAGAACTCCACAGTCCTCTCCTCCTCCTCCCTTCTAGCACTGATAGTAATGGTAATGAAACATCTGCAAGGAAACAACTAAGCTCAGAGAGCATCAAGGACCCCTCATTCAACCCTATCTTCTGAGAGTGTGAAAATTCTGATGGAGAACGTTAAAAGGAAGATACCTGTCATGGAGTATATCAACAAGCAGAAGAGCATGGACATCACAGACACCACCATCCAGTGGGACAGTCTCTTATCGCCCAGGCTGCAGTAGATGGCCACACAGGCTTCATGACACTGGAAGACAAAGAGGTCTTGAATATACAACACAACACACAGTGCAGTGCTTGCCTAATACTTGCTTGGACTTTTTCTTTGTTTCACATCCATAAAGCTGCAGATATATATTCCTACAGTCAAGGGACCAGCCCTGCCACTATTGGCAATCCAGGTCACTGTTATTGTGAGGAGTTAGTGACATATTTTGATTTCTCCTTCATATTAAGAAAGATCTAGTTTAGAGTTCGTTCTAAACTCTAGCCTGCTCATTTTTCAGTCTTGCTTGCTGAACAAAGGACAAGGGGAGAGAATCTTTATGTAGCTTCAAAGCTGTGAAAGTCTCAGATTTTTTATTCATATCCTAGACCAGGGTTAGGCAACCTTGGCTCTTTGATGACTCGTGGACTTCAACTCCCAGAACTCCTGAGCCAGCCATGCTGAGGGGAAAGGGAGAGGCTTCCAAGCTGAGCCATGCTGGCTCAGGAGTTCTGGGAGCTGAAGTCCACGAGTCATAAAAGAGCCGAGGTTCCCCACCCCTGCCCTAGACTCATATGCCAGCCAGTCAAGGTCAGGTCTTGCAGTCCTTTGACTGTAACAAGGCCATGAGATCATGGTGCCAGATTTTCATAAAAACGGTGAGGTTTTTATTAAGAGGGAGCTTCTGCCACAGAACATAGCACTACATGCGGCTGAAAAATTGGCCACTTTGGAGGGGGCATTTCTGCTGTCATTATTAAGCAGCTCCTGGCAGCCTAGAAGAAATCTGGGTGATAGCTTGCTTCATAAGTATGCGTTGTACGTTAGGCTTTTCAATCTGTTTTCCACAAGCTCAGAGAACGAAGCTTCACCCTCATCCTACACCCAAATTACAGATATTCAGCACTATTGCAAAGTTCTCAGTTTCTTGATTTTGATGTAAACAAGGAACGGGGAATCAATGACCATTTTTTTCCCGATGGTAAAAGGGTGACAGCTACACCCAAGTTATTGCATCCTCAGAAATACATATAAATTCAAGTATCCTTTTGCAACAAGAGGGACAAAGTAAGCCTCCATAACTCCTTCGCCCCTTAAGAAAAGAAAGGAAAAATATTCACTTTGTTACCTGAAACCCAAAACAGATGGTCGGGACAACGCTGAACATGGAGGCCCAAGAACTGTGTGAGGGAAAAAAACAAAACACGGACATGCATATGAAGGTGCCAGACATTACTCTACATGGAAATAGCCAGACAGTCACAATGTATTTGCTGTCTAGGTAGGAAAATCTCCTGAAGGATTTTTAAAGAATCAATCGCCACCCCGTTGCATATTGGCTCCTTCCTTAGAGCTATCTAATTTTAATGTTAACATTTATCATTTTAATTTTTGCATTGTTGTTTTTGTTTTGTAAGCTGCTTAATGTCACTTGATGGTGAGATGGGCAGCATAGACATTTAATAAAAATAGAAGTAAATAAAAGAACATCCACCTTTGCCACCCTTATTCTATTCTATTCTATTCTATTCTATTCTATTCTATTCTATTCTATTCTATTCTATTCTATTCTATTCTATTCCATTCCATTCCAGTCTCTATTTTCTATTCTGTTCTATTCTATTCTATTCTATTCTATTCTATTCTATTCTATTCTATTCTATTCTATTCTATTCTATTCCAGTCTCTATCTATTCTATTCTATTCTATTCTATTCTATTCTATTCTATTCTATTCTATTCTATTCTATTCTATTCCATTCCATTCCATTCCATTCCAGTCTCTATTTTCTATTTTCTATTCTGTTCTATTCTATTCTATTCTATTCCAGTCTCTATTTTCTATTCTATTCTATTCTATTCTATTCTATTCTATTCTATTCTATTCTATTCTATTCTATTCTACTCTACTCTACTCTAATTCCATATTCTATTCTATTCTATTCTATTCTATTCTATTCTATTCTATTCTATTCTATTCTATTCTATTCTATTCTATTCTATTCTATTCTATTTTAGTCCAGTCTCTATTTTCTATTTTCTATTCTATTCTATTCTACTCTACTCTACTCTAATTCCATATTCTATTCTATTCTATTCTATTCTATTCTATTCTATTCTATTCTATTCTATTCTATTCTATTCTATTCTATTCTACTCTACTCTACTCTACTCTAATTCCATATTCTATTCTATTCTATTCTATTCTATTCTATTCTATTCTATTCTATTCTATTCTACTCTACTCTACTCTACTCTATTCTATTCTATATTGGTCAAGCAGATTTTATTTAGAAGAACAGAAAAGCAGTGGCTGGTGGTGAGGGTATAAATCTGTTTTCCTTGACATACCATTCACTCTATATCCATACTTACATAGCAGAATGGGGATGCTCCTGCTTAACAGCGTGATCTGTTCTGAGGTAATACTTCAGCACAATGACCACCATCAGGTAGCAGGCAGCTAAAGTGCCAAGGATACTGGAAAAGATGCGCAGAAAGAGCAAAACTGGACAAAGGGTGCAAAATATTCTGCAGCTAGTCCTCAAGAGAATCAATCTGGAACTAAGGACTAATTTCCTGTCAATGAGAACCCTTCATCAATGGAACAGAAGTTGCCTCCAGAAGTCGTGGATGCTCCAACACTGGAGGTTTTTAAGAAGAGACTGGACAGCCATTTGTCTGGGATGGTAAAGGGTCTCTTGCTTGAGCAGGGGGTTGGACTAGAAGACCTCCCAGGTCCTTTTCAACTCTGTTATTCTATTATATGTTATATGACTATAATGGAGCCTGCCCATTAAGGTCGTAAGTTTGACAATTGTAAAGCACTCATGTGACCAATCCAATTTTATTTTCTTTTTTGCAGCAGTCATTAAGTCAGGGGTCTCAAAACTTGTCCACTTTAAGTCTTGTGGACCTCAACTCCCAGAATTCCCCAGACAGCCATGCTGGCTGGGGAATTCTAGGAATTGAAGTCCACAAGTCTAAAAGTGGACAAGTTTGAGGACCCCTGGACTAGAAGATCTTTAAGGTGCCTTCCAACGCTATCATTCTGTGTTCTTGTTTTGCATCTTACTCTGTCCAACCGGGGTAAAACCTATATCCTGTTTCATTCCTCCCCAAACATATCCAGGATGTGAATCAGATCCAAGTTGGGGTGAGACTTAATCTCCGGCATACCCAGTTCCCAAATTGGGCCCTCTGAACTCTTTCTTACCTTGTATATTTTTGGAAGCCAATTTGTCTTGGGATGGAGAGGGGGAAAATAACCAGGAGGCACAAGGTAGACAAGGTGAAGCGCTGGTCAATAAACCAGGGCTGGTGAAAACGGTCTCCATTCAGAGTTTCATTGAGGGAGAAAGAATCACATACTGGAAAAGAGTTGGAAAAAGCTCAGTGTTAGAAGAGGGCAGGAATGTATCCGAAGGCTCGTGAATCTGAACAAAGGAATCAGTTTCTCTTCTGCTGCTTCACTGTTTTTTTTTTTTTTAATCTACAGGTAGACCAATCACTTCGCAATCCTTCTAACTCATAACAGATTGTGAAAAAATGGTATTTGGGGCCCTGATTCAAAAGTCCTGACTTGTGCTCCCCCACCCCCAGGCATGTGACCACATTTTGGGCACTCAACAATGGGCCAGCTTGGGCATTCTGTCCCAGAATGGCCAACTTCATGAGTGGGTATTTTTTTCTGCTGAAAAAAATTAACCCTAACCCTCTTCTACCATCCCCACCACCTCACCCAGCCAAAGAAGACTAGCAAGCACCAAAGCAGAGTTAGAAATTCCCATGGGAATTCTTTTCTGAAACCCAGGTCTCACGTTTTTCTAGTTGATCTCCCATAACTTTGAGGAAGGCCACGGAGATCATGAAGAGGTTCAAGATGAAGCACACTTCGCAAAGCTTGCCCACAGCTGACCCACAGATTTCTCTCACCACACCTTGGTAGGTTGTCTGAGTGCTGATAGAAGCAGCGTAACCCAAGATTACTAGGCCGCTGATGAGGAATATCAAAGATCCCTGCCAGGAGAGACAAAAGAACATGACACTGAAGACAAGTATTGTAGAAGCCAATTGAAAACAAGTGAGTGAAGCATGTCCCTATCCATGGTGCTGAAGGCTAAGGAGTGTTTCTAAGAATTATCTTGAGTAGCCACTACTTGCATTTCTATAGAAGGCACATGGCGGACCTCTTATCATTGACCCATACACTTGATACATTAGACTAAGTTCACACAACATGCTAAACCCAGGTTAGCTCAACATATTGTCCACATTTACATTCCATGATATGCCCAAATCATCCACATTAACATGAAAGCCTGGTTCACCCAACAAACCTGGTCCATGACCAGGTTTCCTCAAAACACCAGATCACAAACCCCTCTTAGTCTAGGAATGTGATGCAAACCAAGTCTTCATTCTTAAGAGGAATCAAATTATTGCTGCTTTGGATTTATTGTGCATTTTCCCATTAATCCTAGCGCCTAGTCCCTACAAGATGAACAAAAAGTGAAATTAATGTCATAGCTTACTTATAGTGTCATAGAATCTTAGAGCTGGAAGAGACCTTGAAGGTCTTCTAATCCAGTGCCCTGCCCAAGGAAGAAGACCTTATTGCATCATGAACAAATCCAATCTTTCTCTTGAAGACCTCCAGCAATGGAGCACCCACAACTCCTGGAGGGAAGCCATTCCACTCATTAATTGTTCTGTCAGGAAATTCCTCCTTAGGACTTGTAAGGAAAGAAAAAGCAAGACAAATTTTCTCCCCAAGACAAATTGCTATGCAATAAATTAGTAGGCTATTTTTAACCTCAGTTCCTGAAGGAAGAGCTGAAAAGTAAACTTTGGCTCCAATTTTCATCTTCACAACAGCTCAGATAAATAGCTTCTGATAAATGATAACAACTGGCTTGAAAGTATGCTTCATTCTCCAGGGCTGACAAGTTCATCTTTTTCTTAGATGTTTGAGAAGTTGGCCGGTTCTTGCTTGATTTGTAGCTCTCAGACAAAAGTGTCCATCAGAACTCAGCCCTCCATGATTTTGGCATTGGCTGAATATTACAAGTTTTCCACCAAAAGAAATAGGTAGCCCAATCCTCCTTGAAGTTCAAATATATGGATTTTTTTTTTTTACAAGAAAGTTAGTAAAATGTGTTAAGGTCTAAATTTTTATGTCTAATGTACAAGAGGCCTCAGGTAGTCCAATCTACAAGAGGCCTCAGGTAGTCTAATCTACAAGAGGTCTCAGGTAGTCCAATCTACAAGAGGTCTCAGGTGGTCCAATCTACAAGAAGTCTCAGGTAGTCCAATCTACAAGAGGTCTGGAGAGCTTTCCGTTGGCACTTACCAGCTCCACAGAGATCGCTGGGGCCATTCCGCCAGCTTTATTGAAGGCCCAGGGGAAATTCAGGAGCCCTGCTCCAAGGGCAGATTTTAGCAAGATGAAGACGGCACCAAATGAGGAAAGTTGGGGGCTATCAGACTCCAGAGATGGCTTAGCTAGCAAGCTGATGCTCTCTCTAGCCAACTCCTCCATGTCTGAAAAGAAAAGGAGGATGGGGTGTTTTATTGCTAGCAGATCTAAGTAGACTTCAACAATTCCACAATACTTCTCAAGGAAGTCAATCCGTCCATGGCTTTGCAGAAAAGTTTAAAAGATTTTCTCCATCTGGGAAAAAAAATTGACAAAGTAAAGGGAAGAAGGGCTTCAAAGGTTTCTCCTCCACCCACCCCTCACCCCACTCATGAGCCTAACCTTATTGAGGAGGGTGGATGAGAAATGAGAGGGACATGTGAAATAGAGCAAAGGAATGTGAAATGACATGAACATATGCAAATGTTAAAAATAAATGAAGAATCTCTAGGCAATTTGCGGCCCCCAATGAACGCTTAATTTAATTAGAAGTTTCACTGGGAGAGGTTAAAAGTGGACATTCTCTAAATATCAAATGTGCTAGAGATTCTGCAGGGAAATGTTTGCTGACTGGGGCCAACTTAAACCAGAGCCAAGGTGTGCAAGATGGCAGCACCCAGACTTTGGCTCAATATTCAGATGTTCTCAAGATGTTCAGCTCAAGGTTCCTCAACCTTGGCATCTTCAGCATGGTGGGTGGGGAATTCTGGCACCTGAATGTCAATGAAGATTCTCAGTCATTCAGATAGAGTTGTCTGGAAGTTGAGACGTGGGAACAGGACTTTTCTTTCTTTTTGGTTGGAAATGCTTTGCTGCTTATCTAAGTAACTTCATTCTGAGCAAGTTGGTTAGGGCGACCTCCATATATGTCCTCCAGGTTGTTTTCATGTGTCACCTACTCTGAATAGGCTCATTAGGTGAGAAATGAGACCACCCTGAAGGACATATATAGAGTCCCCCTTAACCAACTTGCTTAGACGGAAGAAACTCCTTGGATAAGCAGTGAAACGTTTTCAATCAAGAAAGAAAAGTCCAGTTGCCTTGACTCAACTTCTAGTCTAGTACCTGAAGGATCCAATCTGGGTTGGTCATCGAGGTCCAGAGGTTTAGTCTTCCAAACTTTTGGACTCGTGCTGGAGACAATCCTTACGGAACTTCTCTCTCACGAGAATGGTGGAGAAGTTCCCTGAAGATTGGCTCCAGCACAAATCCAAAAGCTCAGAAAACTAAACCTCTAGTCCTGGAGATTGACCCAGTTTGAAATCCAACAATATGATCCTAGGACATGTATATTTGCCTTCATTTGTGCTAGTATTTGAACCCCCCCATCTTACATTGGGTGACAGTTGAAATATTGAACTGGTCATCTTAAGGCTGTGGACCCCCGAGCTTAAGTCTTCAAAGCAGCTTCTCTGACCTGTCAACAAATTTCAGAAATCCAAGCCGATTTGACCACGTGCTTTCAAAGTTGAGATTTCTGGGACTTGTTTGTAGGCAATGTTTCGGACAAAACAACAGATGTCCAAGAAGTTGGGTATGTACCAAAATGTCCAAAAAGCCAAGGGGTGCATGAGGAGGCCCAGACTCTTTTGTCATGCTTTACAACTGCTGCATTGTTTGTATTGTATTGTATTGTATTGCATTGTCATATCATATCATATCATATCATATCATATGTATTATTTTGGCTCCATCTTTGCAGATTTCCATTTGTTGTCAAAGTTTCAAATAGTTTAGGCAGACAACATGCAGACATCATAAAGGCCAGCTCCCAAATGAGCATCACAAAGTTAATCATAAAATGACCTGCCTTCACTTGGAAATGTTATAGTTTTTTAAAAAAACCAAATATATATCAAATAAAAAACACCAAGGCAACATATCAGGAAAAAGCCACACAGTTCAGAGCAATTTTCAAAAGCAGAAGGCACCGAAAAGTGTGGAATAGCGTGGGTGGATGTGTTAAAAAATACGAGTATTTTAGCCCAATTGTTTGCCTATAGAACCCAGGGACAGGTGGATTAGTCTACAGAAATTATACCAAGAAATTAAAAAGAGCTCGATTTGTCAGAACCAAGGCCGGCTTCTTTGGTTACCTATCACCAGATCAGTAATTCATTTTTTACTTCCTAGCCATGTGACCTTCTGATCTCGGTAAGCAGGATAAAGAGGTTTTAATCAGCTGCTATAAAGAATTATGAATGGCTAATTGTTCCTGTCATCCTGATTATGTCTTTGCAAGCTGCTGCGTTCTGAGCCATTCAAAGTGTCCCTTTCAGTCATCAGTGGTCCACAAAGGAATGCTTTAATTGGCTGGTGCGATTCAGAATTTAGCCATTGGGCTGGAAATAAAAGGCTTGGCCAATAAGGGAGGCTCAGCACAGACTAGCACACTTTGATATAATTTTGCAGGGTGGTGATGGTGGTGGGGAAATTCAAAGCGTTTTGAGAACTTTTACTAATCTTGCCTTCATGACACTCCTGAGTAACAGCCTAGGGGCTATTTTATTTATTTTTTTATTTATACCCCACCTTTATTATTTTTACAATAACTCATGGTGGCAAACATATGCAACACACCTTCCCTGTTCTTCTATTTTTCTGTGAGATGAATTGGGTTGAGAGTGACTGACCCAAAGTCACCCAGTTGGCTTTCATGCATAAGGCAGGACTAGAACTCACCATCTCCTGCTTTCTAGCTTGGTGCCTCAACCACTAGACCAAACTGTCTCTCCTTGACTATGTATGTCTTGGCCAAGGGAACTGGCCTGCAGGCTCTCGCCTCTCATCCCTTGTAGCAATTACTTAAAAAAAAAATACAGCCACTGAGAATATATTCTACATTGTTTCTACTTATTTATCAATAATTCTCAGTACACTAGCATAATTTAACTGTACATGAAAGCTACACAAACTTTCTTCTCTAATATTAAAGTAAGGATCATGATATGACTGGAACGAACTCCAGTCCTTTTTCACAAATGAGGCAAAATTAAGGGTTGAAAATGAAAGTGTTTGATTACAGTTGCCTCTTCATTCTCTTGTCAGTAAAGATGGAAGCAGAGCCACATAATGCTGAAACACAGTTTATCATTATGCACAAACCAGTGGTGGATTTAGCTGAGTATTATCTCTCTCTGTGGGATGCCTGTCTCACTCAAGGAATACATGTGCCAACCTATTTCTTCTCATACTTTTTCTCTCAAAAATGTGGGGATATTTTCTACACTGCTGTTTTTATGATGGGATCCTGGAGTGGCTTCTGCTGAGTGTGCTATGCACTGACATTGTGGTAGTACATGACTTACTTGCACAATGCTGTCAAGGTGAAATCCCCAGGACTTGTATGAACAGGGAAAATCAAGCAAGGAAATATTCAAGCAGCTATGAGAATAGAATAGAATAGAATAGAATAGAATAGAATAGAATAGAATAGAATAGAATAGAATAGAATAGAATAGAATAGAATAGAAATAGAGAAGTATGGAATGGAATGGAATGGAATGGAATGGAATGGAATAGAGTAGAGTAGAGTAGAGTAGAGTAGAGTAGAGTAGAGTAGAGTAGAGTAGAGTAGAGTAGAATAGAATAGAATAGAATAGAATAGAATAGAATAGAATAGAATAGAATAGAATAGAATAGAATAGAAATAGAAATGGAATGGAATGGAATGGAATGGAATGGAATGGAATAGAGTAGAGTAGAGTAGAGTAGAGTAGAGTAGAGTAGAGTAGAGTAGAGTAGAGTAGAGTAGAATAGAATAGAATAGAATAGAATAGAATAGAATAGAATAGAATAGAATAGAATGTAGAGATAGAGAAGAATGGAATGGAATGAAATGGAACAGAACAGAACAGAACAGAATATAGAGATAAAGAAGTATGGAATGGAATGGAATGGAATAGAATATAGAGATGGAATGGAATGGAATGGAATAGAATATAGAGATGGAATGGAATGGAATGGAATGGAATAGAATAGAATATAGAGATAAAGAAGAATGGAATGGAATGGAGTAGAATAGAATATGGAATGGAATAGAACAATAGAATGGAATAGTTGGTAGGGACCTTGGAGGTCTTCTAGTCCAATTGCTGCTCAAGCAGGAGATCCTATAACAGTTTAGATATAAACTGTATGATGAACAGCTAAGAAGTTAAAATGGGCAAAAGAGAGAAGATACATAATTTTGAGCAATGGGCAAAAGATTTAATTCCAGACCAATTTATATCAGGCATAATACATTAAAAGATGAGCTGTCAAGAGATAAAGATTTTACCTTTTCTGGTTTTTATAATTGCAACAAGATGAAGCTCGGTATGAAAAGACATCTGCTTTCTTCGGGATCCTTTCATCAAATACTTTTTGCCTTTATTAAACTGTCTAATCTCTGCCATAATCCCCAAACAGATAATGATGCACCGAGTAATTTTTACTCTGCCCTTCATGCTATCCCATAATCAACCTGTTGACTATTCCATAATCAAGCTGGGTTATAAAAAAAAAATAAGATCAGATTCACCCCAATAGGATCCAAGAAACCAAGATGAAGATGAAACACATTTTTTAGACTTTAGAAAGATGTTGCAGCTTTGATCTTCTGCCAGAGATTAAAGCTCTTTTTAAAGCTCTAACATTTAAGAGTTTTAATGCAGGGCAGGAAAAAGGTGTGCGTGGGAGAGTTTTAAAGGGAAAAAAATTAATCATTTGCACAAGTTTTTGGACTCTGGGCATTTAACAAGTTAGAATATATGGTTCTCCCTCTTCACAAAAGATAGATACGCAGAGGCAACAGAGACCAAGAACAGAGAAAAGATGCCAAAAGGAACGTAGGGGTGAAAGTAATAAACCAGGGGATCTGGCGTTTTTAAAATAATTGGATGGATCCTATGTCAGAGTCACTTGTTCCTTAATTTCAAAGATGCTTAAACTGCCAATGCTTTGCAGAGGACAAACTGTGCTTTGGAAGTTTTTGCGAACTATGAATCACAGATAGGCTAGCCAATGAAAAACCTAAGTGAGTTTAAGATTTGAAAGCAGCCATTTTTCAACTCAGGTTCTGCACAAGATAGCAACTGAGGAAAAAAAAGTTTGCTGTTGTTTGTTTAAATTACACATACTGCGCAGTGGGAATTTTTACATGTCGCAACTCAGCTGTCAGCCTGCTGCTTTGCTGGTGTTGTAAATGTTATAGAACATAGGTTGTGCTGGGTAGAGGTGAACTGTACTGTGAAGTTTTTATATTTTTTGGAGATGCTTTAGGCAGGGCATCCAGTCTAACTGAACTAACAACGGATCATGAACATATCTAAGATTAAATGTCCTAACCTTCCAGATATGGCAGAGATGCCGATTCTGTCAGTTTAGGGATTCAACAGAGGTCCATCCAGAGAAGGCTATATCAGGAGGAGAACACAGAACATTGAATAATAAGATTGCAAGAGATCTTAGAGATTGACTCTAGTCCAATCTCCTGCTCAAGCCAGAAACCCTGTGCCACGCCGGATAAGTGGCTGTCCAAAACCTTCTTGAAAATTTCCACTCACAACTACTGGAGGCAAAACCAATAAAGCATCCTTGACAGGTGACTGTCCAGGCTCTTCTCAAAAGTCTCCAGAGATGGAGAAATCACAACGTCCATTTCATGGTTCACGGAGCATACCATCAGCAATACAGCTCCCTTTTCAACAAAGAGTCGATGCTAATCCTGAAAGAGTTTAGATCCTGGTTCAAACCTAGTGACATTTTCTGTTAACTGTGTACACAACTTTACATTGCTATCTTACCAGAACAATGAGACTATTTAAAAAAAAAAAAAACAAGAAAGAAATCCAGGTAGCTTAAGTTCCTCTCGTAAATCTGTTTCCCTTAATACCCATCATTCGGTTTTAACACCTCTTCCTCTGGTTTTTCATTCCGTATCAGAATAATCATGGTAACCCTTCTCCTGAAACTTTGAAAGGACAAGGTCTGTTTACACACGCATGCCTTCGCAAGGACGTTGGCTGCGGCTCTCCCCATTATCTCTTACCTTCCTTCTTGCCCTCAGAGGCGAGAACAATGATCCTTGATCTGCTATCTGATGACCATGGTTGACTCTAAGCCCTTGAGACATAATTGGAGCAGATATTACACTTCTGGGGACCTCTCTTTGCCCATGAACAGTTCTAAGTGCACATCGATCACTCTAGGGGATTCCAGATGTGTGCCATCCAGCTCCCAGAATTACTCAGCCAGCATAGACTCATAGGGCTGGAAGGGACTTCAGAGGTCTTCTAGTCCAGCCCCCTCCCACCCAAGGCAGGAGTCCTTGTACCATCTCAGATAAATGGTTGTCCAGTCTTTTCTTGAAAATTTCCAGTGATGGAGCACCCACCACACTGAGAGGCAAGCTGCTCCATTTATTAATCGGCATTTCAGAAAAATTTTGAAAGTTGAAAGCTAAACAGCTGGTGGCATTCTGAGAAATAAAACCCAGTTACTTTAAAATCTCAAAATCAAAAGAAAGGTCTTGGGAATCCCACCTAAAACAACACTGCACCAATAAAGGAGACTATTTGTAGCTCAGGATTGAAATGAAGACAATGTTCTGAGGGGTCCTTGGTGCTCTCCAAGCTTCATGGTTTTTCTTGCAGAGTTTCATTATCCAAATTAGATAATATGTATTTTGCTGATGTTACCTAGTTTGGGTAATGAAACATCTGCAAGAAAACAACCAAGCTCGGAGAGTACCAAGGACCCCTCCGAACAATATTGTCTATGAAAGGGGTAGTGTGTGTGTGTGTGTGTGTGTGTGTTAAAATTGTAATTAAAAATGTAAACAATTCAATTTATAATTTTAAAATGTTCAGAAGCTGAAACTGCCAAATCTTTTCCCTTTCTCCATTAGCTCTCTTGGTTGCAATTTTAAAAGTGCATAAGTTGTTATGTGAAATTCTCAGCAATTAACTAATTTAACCTTCAGTATTCCCCTACCCCATCCCCAAAAAAACCCCCACACACAGCTTCTTCTTTTCAGGCCTAGCTATGAAACTCTGCACAAGTCAACGAAATCCTACAGGGTTTCAGAAATTGGCTTCAGTCATTTGTAGCAGAAAATAAAAGCAATGGTTTAATATAAGCTGTGATCATTGCAAGGAATCGTTTGGGCACCAGGAAAACTATGGATACTCATGCAAAACGGTGAAGTGTTCTTATAATTATGTAAGCTTGTTGTAACATAATAAAGACACAAAAGGTTTCTTTAAAGTCTGTCCAGCTCAATGCTGCCTGCTAAATCAGCAAATTCTTTTTCTTTATCCAGCCTACAAAGCGTACTTTGACTTTATCCAGCCCAAACGTTCCACCACCAACCTGCCATTTCTTTGTGACAAAACCTTTTCACAAGATCCTGTATTTTCCAGGCAAATAAGTGAAATAAACCATACTTAACCACACTGTCCTTCCAAACCACTGTGTGCAATGTTTTCCCCTTGCAGGCCCTAAGATCCTGCCGCCTGGCAGATTTCAGAGCAGAATGTACGAACATTAATCTCACCATTAATCCCAGCATTAAAAATGCACATAAGAAAAAGCACACAAAAATTCCCAGAAAGTAGTAGCAGCCGTTCTGTAGGAAAATTTCCAAATCAAAGAGGTCATTTCTTCAACATTTTCCCAGTCGGTCAATTCTTACTGTTGGCCAGTTGCAGTGCAAATTTGAAAGTTCAGGCTGATCATAAAAGATCTAAACTGTCTCTTGATTAACCTTTTCAGTGTTTTAAAAGCCAAGAATGCACCTTAAATCAGACTTACAAGAGTCTCCTTAAAGAACCTAAAGCATTCTGCTTCAGAATGCCAAATGTAGAAGACAATATTTACTTACCAAAGTATACAAAATAACAGAGTTGGAAGGGACCTTGGAACTCTTCTAGTCCAGCCCCTGCCCAAGCAGGAGACCCTGTACCATTCCAGAAAAATGGCTGCCTAAATCTCTTCTTAAAAACCCCCAGTGATGGAGCACCCACAACTTCTGGAGGCAAGTGGTTCCACTGATTGCTTTCAACCTACTGTTATTTTGAAGCTCAAATCGTTCTGTGTCATTTTCTAATTTTATCTCTAGAAACAAAATCCCTGTTAGGAAAGTTGGGCTCAAGGAAGGAAAACTTAAATTAGTGAAGTCCAACATTTAAATAATACATAGTTCTGAACCCAAGACCTTCAATGCTAGAAGCCAACATTTCCACTATTCAAAAGTTCCTTCAAGACAAACTCACCTTCTGCCAACTTCATAGACCTGTTGACATTAGCTTTCTCGGCAGGAACAACCACACACACACACACACACACACACACACACACACACACAAATGCCATTGTCTTTTCAGGAAAGGTATTTTTTCCCCTAACTTTTCCCAACTTCCCAAAGTTTTCCTAGCACTCTGTGGAACTGCAACCCAAATCCAACCTGGCTTAAGATCTGGGAGATCATCCATGCTCTGCAAAGATTTCCACTTCTATTTCATTATTACATGCAAGTAAGCCTCTTCCATTTAACCCAGTTCCCCTGCATATGCAAAGTGCCATTTTTTTTAAAAAAAAATATCACTGAAATGAAATGTTTTAAAAAGAAATTTCACCTCAAGCCATTTCTCTCAAAACGCCACAGGTTAAGGAGGCAGCGCTAAAATCCTGGGCCTGCTGCCAATCAAGCCTAACCGACACCATTGTCCTTTTCACACCTTTTCTTCTCATCCATCCCATCTTGGAAGCACCCCACCCAACGTAAAGAGAGTTCCCCCAAACCAAGCAGGCTCCATAGTCCTGGGTCTTGGCTTTGCTTCCCAAGCTGGACGCTACAAGCTGGCCACCCATCGCTCAGACCAAGATGGAAGACCAACAATGGGCCAGAAGAGAAGCTGAGGAACTCCTAGAGAGGATCTAACAGCTGCACCCAAGAAAGAAACGTGCCACTCTACCCATCTTGACGTTGGTGAAGCTGCTCCCAAGACCTTCTCCGGGGCATTCAGAAGAAAGGATTAAAAGCCCTACCTAGAGGCTTTCTTTGAAATGGAATATTTTGAGCCGGAGAGGAATTATTTTGGTATTCTCTCTTTCTCATGCTCTCTTGCTTGCCTTTAAGGTGGGGGGAGAAGAAACCCCACACAATTTGTCCATCTCAAGTTGCAGTCATAGCCACGCCCTTCCTCCTCCTCCTGCCTTCAGGTTTGGGGATTTTAAAGAGGCTCAAGACTTCACACACATATACACACACACCCTCTCAGCTGAATCAACTTGTCTGTTTAATCCTCAGTTAGCTTAAACTCACTCACTTGCAACTCTGGGTTGTTACAGGAACAATCGGTGGCCTTTTTATCAGCCAAATTCTCTTGGAATATTGTCACAGTGTCAAAAGGGACACCGGTTCCTTCCTTTCATAAGCCGTCTTCCAGATGTTCTGCTACAAAACAAGCCTTTCCACATTTTTTCCAGTCAAAAGAAATCCCAGGAATTTGGAATTGGTCTTATTTGAACTAAAGATCCAACGGGACTTTATTTATTCTCGGAATAAACCAGAACTTTCTCCCTATTGACCTAATAAACCAAGCCCAGAAATGCAGCAACCACAGGAAAAGAAAAAATGCTGTCCCATCCCACAGGGCTCAGTGCCGTTTATCACCTGGGAAGCAAATACACACAGAGATAAGACAAGCCCACCACCTCATCAGCTAAATATGCCACTTGTCAACAAAACGTTGGTCAGTCTCGAAACCACATCAGCCCAAAGGAGCAACAGAGCCAAACATCCACAAGCTTTCATGGCTAAGGTGGGACTAGAACTCACCAACTCCTGGTGATTGGCTCAAAGAAACCTAGCTAGCTTTTGCACCTAAAACAGGACTAAAACTCACCTTCCTCCGCTTTCTAGCCTGGTGCCTTAACCACTAGACTAGACCAAACTTTACACCTCCACTTCCAGGTTTAATTCAAGATGCTGGTAATGATCTGTAAAGCCCCACAAATCACGGGTTGAGGTCATTTGAGGGACTGCCTCTTCCCAATCCATTGGCCCATTCCCATCGGGAGGAGCATGCGACAGGTGGCTTTCTAGAAGACCCCAAAGGCCTTTGCCATTGTCCCTGGGGATCTGACAGGGGTATGGAGCCTCTGAAATTGTGCATGGATGTAATGCTCTCACAAATTTTATTGTTTAATGGTTTTAATAGATTTTTGTTGTTGTTAGTATTTCAGTTATTAATTTGTATTTTTTTTTAACTATGTGAGCCATCCAGAATCAGGCATGTGAAATGGGCGAGCACCATGCACAGATTGAACAATAAAATAGATAAAATCCCACTAGCGGTTTTGTGCTATATAAAGAAATGGGTTTATTTTGCTTTTTCCTGAAAATACTATCACTGGTTTCATCTGGGAAGCCTCAATCTGTAGAATTACAGTAGAGGAGGGAGGAGTATACTCTCTTCTCTCTCTATGCAATTCCATGTTATTTATCTAAGGATATTTATCAAGTTCCTTCAGGAAGGGGTCTCCTGAGTGGATTACCCAGGATCATTAACCAGCAAGAGGGCAGCTGCATCCACACAACCCACCCCAGGGATAGTACTGCAGGTTGTCTTTAGTGCAGGGGAAAAGACAGCATTTTTAAACCTTGGGAGATTATCACATTTCACGTGATGTTGGTGTTCTTGCAAAGTCTAACCATGTGGTTAGATATGACACAACTTAGCCGAAAAGGGAGGCACAGGCAGAGAAAAAAGTCATTAGTAAGATAAAGGCTTAAATCCCACCACTTCAATCCTTCTGAATTCCATCATGAAAGAACCTTAACAGCCCTTTAAGGACTAATTCAAGGCAAAAAATTTTGTGAGCCATTCGTCGTCCTAATTTTTAGTTTTTTACAGGTCTGAGATCTGCTCCTGTTCACTCATTCTTTGATATACTAATTAGCTGCTGAAATACTTCTATCACTTCAGTTCTGTTTCTCTTTCAAAACTTATAAGGCTCCCGGTTTCAGAGATTCTCACTCTGAAAATTGTTCTCAATGGAATTTAAGAGGGATTGGTTTGTTTTTTTCCCTGAAGCTATAAATGTAAAATGTTCAGAAAAGGGGGAATAGGGGACAAGACACAGAATAGTTCCCCATTATTATTTGATTTTTCTCCTTCTGTGGAATTCTTGGTGCTCTCTGAGCTTGTTGTTTTTTTGCAGACGTTTCATTACTAAACTAGGTTACATCATTAGTGCTGGAAGGAAGTGAGTTTTCTCCCCGTTTATATATGTAGCTTGCCCTGCCAGTATTGATGAAGTGTTGTTTTCTGCTGACTCAGGAATTCTGGGAGTTAAAGTCCATGAGTCATAAAAGAGCCGAGGTTCCCTACCCCTGGATTAGGCTATTGTCCCACCGACACTGACAGGGAAAGCCATTTGTATATAAACAGGGAACAAATTCCACACCTTTCCAGCACTGATGATGTAACCTAGTTTGGTAATGAAATGTCTGCAAGAAAACAACCAAGCTCAGAGCGCACCAAGGACCCCACAGTATTCCTATTCCTCCTCCATTTTACAAGCCACACTCCCTTCCGGCATTGATGATGTTACCTACCGAGCTCAGAACGCACAAAAGGCCCCACAGTTCAATTCTGAGCTACAAATACTTTCTTCTGTCAGCACTTTCTCTTTCATTTAGAGGGCAGAGGGTGTGCTGGCTTTTTGTTCTTTCCATTTCAATATAGATAGCATATTTATTGAAAAAAAATTTTTTATCCACCCGCAAGGGTGAAATCATGCTGAAGAATTACAAAACGTCGCGGTAAGTTGCTTTATAAAAATAAATGAAAGGACTACAGGTCCACGCTGGTCAGACAAATCAGCCACACCGATTTGTTCCTGCTTTTGTTCAAACTGTCGGTTTCTTTCTCCTCCTTGCAGGAGGATCACCTGAGTTCTATTTGTCTTCATAAGAGAGAACTTTTTTTAAAAAAATAAAAATAAAAAATAAAGGCACACCATTCGGGGGGAGGGGGAGAAAAAAAATGGTGCTGCCATCCATGAATCAAGGGGATTCTTGAAAAGGATCTCTTCTCCTGGTCCCTCTGAAAATAAATACAGAAAAGTATTCCCTACTGAAAAGGTTTGGTCAATGTCAAAAGGGGGGGGGGAAGGTCCTTCCCAAACTCAGAAGCAATTGATTCCTTCTTAAATAGCGTTTTAAGCCTTTGGTCAGTTTAGCTACTGAAAAATCATAGTGTGTTTTTTTAATCTGAAGGTCATCCGTCACTTGTCAAGAACCCAAGACAAAAGCAGAAGGTTGCTAGGTCAGGTCAAAAGGTCTTTAGCAGTTGATCACCATTCCCACAAAGCAGTCAGTGAAATCTTTGGCTGCAGCCATCAAACGGAGGGAGTCTTTGGAGGGTGACTTTGCTGTATAATTTGTGGCCGTTTAACTCGAAGTTTCCTTCTCTTTGGCCTGCTCTTGGACTTGATTTGGACCACAAAAAACGCCAGGACCACCATGGCACCCAGGAAAGCAAAGACAGGGATCGTCCCTCCCACGTCCTGATTGTAACGGCCAGGCATGATTCCTGCACAGGAGAGCAAAAACGTGAAATTGATCGGCATTTCCAGGAAGTAACATTTCAGCTTTTAAACCTTTTAACAAAGAGCTACTTTTGTTTGCATATGTTACACTGTTTATTTATTGCTTAGGTTTGCATAACCACTCATCTCAATTTTTACCTCCTGGAATATTCCATGCTCCGCTCTCTCCCGGGGATAAAGGTCTTACTTGGGGCCGGTTCTGATGGAAACTTGGCAAGGCCACTTTATCCAGGTCAATCGATAATAACTTCTGATGTTTCCAAAGGTTGCTAGAAGAGAGAAAATCAAATCGAACTCTTTACATTTCCTGGGCTGCTGATCAATTGAGACTACCAGAAAAATATAATGAACATCTAAAGGAAGGAATCATTCTTGAGAGCATCAGATGTAATGCCTACAACGGGTCTCAATCGGGAAGATGCTGGTTTAACCTGGTTCAGTCAGAGCTGGGTAGTCAAACAAGGATATTACAGAAATGTCTGCTTAAAGAAGTCAAGCAATGTTTCCCAAAGTCTGCTAAAGGTTGAGAACAGCCATTTTTGAGGATGTTCTTGGCTACCAAACACTATCGTGTGGTCTTGGCATTCCATTCCATGTTTACTTGGCTTTGCTGTCAGCCACAGGATCTGGCAGTGTGAGATACAGGTTGGACCCTGAGGGCTTCCAATTTCTGTGGCTTCTAGACCAAGGGTGGGCAACCTTGGCTCTTTTATGACTTGTGGACTTCAACTCCCAGAATTCCAGGGCCTGGATGACTGAGCATCTCCACAGACAGCGAGAGGATCTGTAGAGGAGACTGAGAGAGTCTAGAGAGGCCTCTTTTGTCTGGGGGATGGGGAGTGTGTGACCCACCAGCAGAGCCAAGGTAAGACATTTTCTGAAAATTTTTAACACGCCAAGCCCAACTGGTTTGCCACCACTGTTCAGGTCGGTGCATCTTAAAAATACACCTTTGCACATTTCCCTTTACAAACCTAAGACCTTATTTATTATTCAATGTATTGTATTGATGATTTGAAACTGAATTTTTTTTCTAAAAGGCAGAAACAATTAAAAAAAAAAAAGACAACCTGGGTGCTGTTTCGTTCAGAGGTTGTGGCTTCGCCCAGGACAAATGAGGACATGCCGGAAGTGAGCGAGGTTTCGGATCACGCAGATGAGCCTCCAGCACTTTGGAGTAGCGATGAAGGTGGTTCCCTGGAAATGTCGTAGAAAAGAATTACTGGAAATCCTTGGAAGTCTCGCTTGCTGCTTTTTCTAAGCGTTGAGAACTAGATCTTGGTTTTACTGAAGCTAACTCTTTACCCCATTTATTTGGGGAGGGTGGGTAAAAAAAAAAACAACACTAAAGCAGGCAAGCCAAAAAGGGCTTGGTTGTGTGTAAGCCACTCAGAGTTTTGAGATGGGCTGAATTGCCAATAAATAAAACCAACAGTGAACCAGCAGATCCTGGGGAAAATATTAGAAAGCTGAAGGAGGCACTTTGCTTTCCTGCACGATCTGCAGATGCCAGGATGTACAGAAACAGCAAAGGAGTTGATGGTGCAAACATGTCAGCCCTGGGGGAAGGCACTAAGAGGCAAACATCTCCCCAAACTAGGAATTGGGGGGCAGGGGGAATTAGTGCTTTAAGCCTTTGCCATTTTCCACCCATTAGAACAGTGCTTCTCAATCCTGGCCACTTTAAGATGGGTTGGATTTCAACTCCCAGAATTCCCCAGCCAGCTATGCTTTAAGATGTGTGGAGTTCGACTGACAGAATTCTCAACCTTGGCAACTTTCGGACTTCCGCTCCCAGAATCCCTCAGGTGGCTACAGAAATCCACCCATCTTCAAGTTGCCACAGCTGAGAAAGGCTGCCTCAGAGCATCCCAAAGCATATAAAAATGAATTGACTCACAGCCAAACCCACTTTGGTGGGAACACTGCAAGCTGTAAGAGGTTTAATAATAAGAATAATAAAGTTGGAAGGGACCTTGGAGGTCTTCTAGTCCAACCCCGTTCAGGCAGGAAAACCTATACCATTTCGGACAAATGGCTGTCCAGTCTCTTCTTAAAAACTTTCAGTGTTGGAGCATTCACCGCTTCTGGAGGCAGGTGGTTCCACTGGTTAATTGTTCTAATTGTCAGGAAGTTTCTCCTTAGTTCTAGGTTGCTTCTCTCCTTGATGAGTTTTCATCCATTGCTTCTTGTCCTGCCTTCAAGGGCTTTGGAGAAGAGCTTGACTCCCTTGCTGGGAAGGGAGGGGGCTTCAGTTTGTGACCTGCTCCTCCTTGTTCTACACAACACCTCCCACCTTGACCCTCTTTTCTCCACCCCACTCCTGTTGTTTTCTCCACTTTTCTCCCACTCCAGAAAAAAAGATTGAAACGGACAACAGTTAACAGAAACCTCCTGTCCTCTTCGCTCCACGCCAAATGCCATCGCTCTGAGCCTTGGCTGTAAAGAAATCAAATCAAATCACCTTCCATTCTCTCTGGAAGAACATAACCCGCCCCGGTTGGGGGCCGCTGCCTGTGTTCCGAGTGGCTGAGGCTCGGCGGCATCACTCCGTAGGACGTATATTGCAGGACGGAGTCGAGCAGCCAGAAGCAATCTGGGGAAATCAAAAACAAAGACATGAAATCGCATTGGCGCTCCAAACAGGCCCGCTGAATAGCCAAATGAGCCAATTGTGAGCAGCAGTTTCTTGAAGCAGGATTTTAAGTTAAAAAAAAATCCCTATGGATGCCATCTATTTTCCCAGATGCTCTGTGCCATTCAGAGTTGGCGCTCTGCAGAGCTGAGGTCTACCCTAGTTTTGCGGGGTTTCAGAGGGTGGGGGGGCTGAAAATGTCAAGCGTTTATCTTTTACTTCTCAGGAACTACCTGTCGAAGGCAAGGTAGATGGGAAGAGAGAGCTGGTTGGGTGCAGGGGTTAAGAGGGTTAAGGTGCCGGCCTAGAAACCAGGATATGAAGACTTCTAGTCCTCCTTAGGCATGAAAACAGACTGGGTTATAAGCACCCAAATTGCAATTGGATGATTATAGATGTGTTGCAGTGGTCTTAACAGCACTAGGACTTAGACTTATACACCACTTTGCAATACTTTATGGGTCTCTCTAACCAGTTTACCGAGGCAGCATATTTGCCCCCAACCATCTGGGTCCTCATTTTACCGACCTCAGAAGGATTGAAGGTTGAGTCAACCTTGAGTCTGTCAGGATCGAACTCCTGGCAATGGGCAGAGTCAGCCTGCAATACTGCATTCTAAGATTGTGCATGATGGATGGATGGAAGGAAGGGAAATAGCAATAGCCTTATATATTGCTTCACACTGCTTTATAGCCCTCTCCAAGCCATTTACAGAGTCAGCCTATGGCCCCCAACAATCTGGGTCTTCATTTTACCGATCTTGGAAGGACGGAAGGCGGAGTCAACCTTGAGCGGTGAGACTTAAATGCAAGGAATGGTCATAAATCAAAAGCATTTTTTCAGTGCCCTTGTAATGTTGAACAGTCACTAAACTAAAGTTTAGGGGTTCAAAAGTCAAGGACTACCTGTAAGAGGTTTGAAATATAGCAGCAAATTATGCTTCTGCTTCTGCCTTCTTCATCAGTTCCTGTTTTTTTAATGAATATTCTTCAGAGGTCGGAATAATAGCACGGAAGCCCATGCTTTGCAATTTGCACAACTGGCTACAGAAAACTTTGGCTTGCAAACCCGGTCTCAAACTTGCTTTCCGATTCTGGGTTAACGGTCAACTGCAGATAATGTTTTGTCAGCTCAGATATCATGTCAAAATAGAGTGCTTCAGACAACGAGGAGGCTGGCGCAATCACTAAATGAAATCTAGGCTTATTCAGTTTCACATTAAACTATGTCCTTGGCTTCATTTAACACAGCCTGTGGGCGTCCAATCAATTTGTATGTAATTTTCATTAAAACTTTTAAGCGAGAAGATTAAAAACTAATGCCGAGTAATATAAGGTAGGGAAGAAAAAAAAAGTAATCAAAGAAAACGTATAAAGGTCAAGAAGGGGAAAAAACTGTTGAAAAGAAAGAAAAAAAATATCACGTGGCTTCCAAGATTCTTCACAGCAGTTACGCAGTAAACACAGATAGTCCTTGACTTACAACCGTTCAAAGTTACAGTGGCACCAAAAATAGTGACTATATTAGACCTGTTTGCTCCCTTATTTGTAAAAAAAATAAAGGCGGGATACCAATAAATAAAGAATAAACAATGAGGCTTTTTAGGGCTAGCAGATTTTCCTCTGAAACGATGTTGGGCAAACCGACTTTAGCGAAGATTCCCCACCCTCCTTGTCTTGGAGCTTGGAGCCGAGAGTCAGATTTACTCTCAAATCATTTAAGCACAGTTCAAAGGCCTTTTCGTAAAATCCTTCCCCCGCTTCACATTACCCTTTGGTGGGAATGGATATTAATCTTCATAATCCCCATGTCACCGAAGTATGCACCTTTGATTTCTTTTCTCTTTAATACGGAGGTCAGACACATTTTTAGGATTTACACATTATGTATGTGAGGAATTTTAAAGACTGCTAAGCTTACTGAAGTCGCAGCAGGAGTCACCGCCTCCCACTCCTAACGTGAAAGGCTGGCTGATGCCGTACTCAAGGCCTTTCTACTTCACCGCTAAAAACAGAATTGAGCATCCTTCTCTAGTCCAATGTTGCTTAACCTTGGCAACTGAAGGACCTGTGGACTTGAATTCCCACAATTCTCCAGCCGTCATGGCTCGTTGGGGAATTCTGGGGGGTTGAAGTCCACAGGTTGAAAAACACTGCTCTAGAAGTTAATAACCGTGTTTCCCCCAAAATAAGACCGGGTCTTAAATTAATTTTGCTCCAAAAGATGCGTTAGGTCTTATTTTCCAGTTAGTCTGTTGCCAAGTATCTCAATTTTGATCACGTGACCATGGGGATGCTGCAACAGTTGTTAAGTGTGGGAAAAATGGTTATAAGACATTTTTTTCACTGCAGTTGTATCTTCAGTCACTAAATGAAATGTTGTAAATCAAGGACTAGCTGTAATCCTCAATGGGATGGATTAAGATTGGTATTTTTTTCAATACTCCAAGTGTTTCCCAATCTTATCAACTTTAAGACATGTGGAGTTGAACTTCCAGAATTTTAGAAGGTGAAGTCTGCAGATCTTCAAGTTGCTAGGATTGAGAAACACTGCTCATTAACCTTTTATTATTATTATTATTATTATTATTATTATTATTATGGATCATTGCAGTCAGCCAGATGTTTTTATTATTATTATTATTATTATACATAGTTATAGATTACATCAATATGAAATAAACCTTAGGAAAGATTAATTTGTTCTGAAATGTAGATCCCATAGGCTACATGTTCTGGAATCAATGCAAACTGTGATTCTGAATTGCCACAGTACATTTATTTTAAAAATTTCAAAGTAGAGATTTATAGAGCAACTGGAAATTGCGGTGTTCTGATTTCAAAATGTCCTGTTCCACCTTTAACAAATATGTTGAGTATCACCTGTTCCAACGTTATCAGAATTGGCCCAATTTGAACACAGACTGTTTCAACCTCCATTCCATAGCTGGAACAGACTGCTTCAAAGTCAGCCTACTTCCCATAAAGTCAGAATAATTTGTTCCAACAGAATCCTTCTAATGAGATTGGAAGTTGTCTCTATTTAAAACTTGTTTATTAGAGCGTTTTATCCAAGGCTAGCTCGCTAGCTAGCTATAAAATAACGGTATAATCTTCCAATATATTCTGAATGTCTCCAATTTTCAATAAACATGTCTTATAATTTTCAGTTTTCTCCAATAGTTAATTTAATCACACAAATCACTGACTGGGGTCAATACCATAGAGTTTAAAAGCCAAGTTTTTAACTGCAATTTGTTGATTAAGCTACCTCAGTGTTGCTTAAATTTGATGGATGTGTGGTCTTCACTTCCCAGAATCCCAGAGCCAGAATGCTGGTTGAGGAATGCTGGGAATTAAGTCCACACGTCTTAAAGTTGCTAAGTCTGAGAAACACTAAAGCTACATCAAGATATGGTCCTGAGCCATCAGGTAGTTTGGCTTGAAATACTGTGCAAAACTGGCCAATTGTTTTGTTCATAAACCATGTGCAAACCCAGTCAGTCTTGGCTTGTGTGCAGTTGTGTAATATGGAAGAGGTTGTGTATCGCAATGCAAAACAAGCCCACTACTTGACTTGGCATTAGGTATGAACAAGACCGATGTTCCAAATCTTGGAGAAGAATTTTTTTTTTTTTTACGGTCAGTTCTCTGTATTTCAGCACTGGCTAATGAAAGTGTCATGAGAAAGCATATCAATAATAAATACCATGGAATTCACAAATGGCTTGTAAATCTACAAATTTCAGATCCCAAGATGCGGAAACTTATTTTCATTTGATTTATGTACAGGGGTGCATAACTGCACGCACAGTCTTCCATTTTGGAATCTGCCATTGTGCTTGAGCGTTACAGTAACAGAAATGCGCTGCGAAGTTTTACACACCTTTCTGCCGGTGGCTGTCATCCAGGCAGTTCGAGTCCCCGTACAAAACGATTCTGCCCCCCCCTTCTGTAGGAACTTGGAAGAGGCCCAGAATGGGAACGTGTTCGACTATGGCCGTCTCCTGCTTTAAAACTTCCAGACCTAGGAGGAACGGGAGAGAGGAAACAGGTCAAACTGCATCAAGCGGTGCCCGAAGCGTCAGTCGGTATAGCACACAGGTAGTCCTCGATTTACGACCACAATGGAGCCCCAAATTTCTATTGCTAAGTGAGACAATCGTTAAGAGAGTTTTGCCTTGTTTTACGACCTTTCTTGCCACAGTTGTTGAGTGACTCATTGCAGTTGCTAAGTTAGTAACACGGTTGTTAAGTGACTCTGGCTTTGCCCAATGGCCTTGCCCGTCAGGTCATGACACGTAATCACGTGACCCCAAGACGCTGCAGCAGATTACCTATATTAATGCCAAGTTTTCCCACGCTTTCCTTGTTAAAAGAAAGCAGAAGATTCAAGCTCACATCTAGAAGAATATTAAATGCAAGAGAGGAACTCAGTACCTTGATCCTTAAAAGTCTGTGCAATTACAATGCCATCCTCTGGAAACTTTGCAATACTGCATCCCGAGGCATAATTCACTGAAAATAAAATAGCACATATTGGTGTGTTAGGCCAGAGTTCCCCAACCTTTTTGGCTTTGCGGACCAGCGTGGGGGAGGGAGGGGGAGAGAGGATGGTCCCATGTGAGTGGCGGGCAAACATGCATGATCGTGCAGCTCTGTTGGTGCAAGTGGCGTGCACATGCGCCCGCGGCTCACACAAATGAAGCACATGTGTGCTCGCTCCCTGCTCAAGCAAGTGGAGATGCGGACCCCCCCAGCTCTTTCCGCGGCCCGGTTCTGAAAGACTCAAGCCCAGTAGTGGCCCGCAGCCTGGGCATTGGGGACCCCTATGTTAGGCAATTCTAGTTCATTTTAATTAAAAAACCTGTAGCCAATGATTCCTCTCTATTCCGAGGGTCTTCAGACTCGGCCCTTTTATGACTTGTGGACCAACTCCCAGAATTCCTCAGCCAGGCCCTTCTCACCAGAGAACCCTTTGTTGTAACTTTGAACAGTCATTAACCAAAGAGTTGTTATGTGAGGACTCCCTGTACTTACTTTCCTGGCTTTCCAAGGTAAAGTCTCCTTCGTAGAGCCCGTCGCTAAAGGCCATGCCCCAGACGGAGAGGAGATCGTTGAGTGCTGGAACATTTGCTCCTCCGGTATCCGGCATCCACCACTGCCTGAGAAATCAGCAGAACACCACCAGAGATGTTCCGGGGAGGGGAGGGGGGAGAGAAGACATGTATAAAAACTAGTTACTCTACAGCTAGTCCTCGACTTACGACCACAACTGAGCCCAACATTTCTGTTGCTAAATGAAGCATTTGTGAAGTGAGTTGTACGACAGTCCTTGCCACCCCTCCAGTTATTAAGTTAATGGCACGGCTATGAAGCTATTAAGTGACTTAGCAAAAGAGGACCACGTGATCCCAGGACACTGCCACCGTCATAAACACAAGTCATTTGCCAAGTCTCTGAATGTTGATCAGGTGACCCTGGGGATGCTGCAACGGTCGTAATAAGTGTGAAAAACGGTCACGTGCCTTTTTCCAATGCCGTTGTAACGTTGAGCCATCACTAAACGAACGGTTGCAATTCAAGGACTACCTGTACAAACGGGATCCCATCTGCCTAATCTACACGCCACAGCTGCTGTCACCACCCAGGGCAACAGTAAGTCTGCTTATTTGACAGAAGGAGCCCCTGTAGACGTAAACCTCAGCTCTTAAGGGGCTTAAAATAAAATTCTGTGCAGGCCTGCTAAGGATTGAGCTAAAGGGACAGCACCTCAGCCATCCCTGTAATCCTGGCTTAAATTAACGAAAGGTTTACAGTGCTTTATCTTATCCATTTTGAAATAACCTTTTACATTTTAAAAGCATCCTTTAAACCAGGGGTCCCCAACCTGTGGGCTGCAGCCCACTACCGGGCCACAGCCTGACGGACACTGGGCTGCAGAACAGGCTGGCCAGTCCATGCACTCACCCCCACCCGTGCTAGTGCCGCCACCGCTATGCAAACGGAGTGCCGCGCGACAAAAACAGGGCGGTGCTAGTGTTACGTGGGCACTAGCACCGTCCTGTTTTTGTTGCACACGCGGGCGCAAGCGTAAAATGCATCCCCTCACTTTCCCTCTGGTCCGCCAGCCGAGAAAGGTTGGAGACTCTGCTTTAAGCTCTCCCCTGCCACCTATTTCCCCCTCCTACCCACCCGTCTCTCTGCCATTCAGTCGCTCTGCCTCTCCATGGAATTGGCAACCGTTTGCGGCAGCGTCCAACCTCTCTTACCGTGTATTTTCGTCGTAAAACTTGACTTTCCTCATCACGGAAGTGTTGTACCAATCGCTGAACACGACGAGCGACAGTCCGTTGTCGACATCCCTTCTCAGCTTAACGATTTCTTCTGGGAAATACTCTTCCTCGCTGTCCACCATCAACAATGTTCCTGCGCAAAGAGAATCTGGAGGCTGTAGATGATCGGCGTCAACAAATGTTATCAGATGATTCGGATAAACGACTGCTTCACTGAAAAAATTACCAATAAATCTTCCGTGCTGCAACTTAATCTAGGGTCCTGATCCTTTGTACCTGACAGCTTGCATAAATATTATTTTTTCTTCTTCTTGTGCCATATCCGTTATCGGACGTTGGCGATCATGTTGGCGATCCTGTTTTTATCAGCAGCCGCACAAAAAAGTGCTGGATTAAAATAAATGGGGCTGGATAATTTGTAATCCATCTTCTCATCCCTTCTCTTTCCCTCAAGGAAAGCCATCCCTTGCTCAAGAAGCTGGATGAACCGGTCATCACATTAAGCCATGATATATTTTACTGGGGCATAAAACGACATAATGAAGTCAGCAGAGGAATCGTTTTGTTAATTTGAGGTTGGAGTCAAGTCTGTGTTTGTGAATGCAGCTTTGGGTTCCTGAGATGTACTAAAACCTGTGTATCTTTCCCCCTAACCTGCATAACATCACCCTCAATGTCCTCTTATACAATAAAAGGACTGAATGTTAAATGGGTATTCAGTGAGGCCAAGAGAAAATCTGACACTGTATATCAAAGGTAATAAAAGCCCTAAAATAAATCAGCCTCACAAACTCTATCAAATAACAATGCTGCATTAAGAAATCCTACTTAGGATTCAGGACCTGAAGTTTATTTCTTAAGTGTTTCAACAACCTGATAATTATAAAGAACAATCTCCTGCTATCCACTTTGAAAGATGGCAATTTGAATTTTCATACAAAAACATTCAAATAGAATTAGCAGCAGCTCACTTCAAAACTGCTGTCCTATTAGACAGATTCAAGTCCTACTCTTCTCTCTCCTTTTGACAAGTCTTCCATTTTCTTTTACCGTAACAACTAAATGGCATTTTCCATCTAAACTGAGCTGCCAAGACGAATAAAATGAAGGTCACCAGGTCTTGAGCACTAAAAGCTCAATTTAAAAATAAGTCCACAATTCCCGGGAGACGTCCTTTTTTCAGATTAAATAGACGTATTTTATACTTGAGTCCAGATTGTAGAACAGTTTGTTGTTTAGCAAATTATTAGACGATATAAACCTGAATCTGCCTATCTTTGTTTTATGGATTTTGAAATCCTAAGATTTGGATTAATCTAAAAGGAAATAAACACCAACTTATTATTACTTACCATACTGACTGGCATCAAAGCATGTAAATGGTGAGCCAAGTACTTCAATGAAATAACCCATGCTTCTCAAATGCTGGTACATGTCTCTGAAGTTGGTATGAATGTGGTCACCATTCCTAAAGAGGGGAACAAATCAAATATGTTGTCTAATCATCTCTCAAACTGTTTTCTGATGTACCAGAAACTTAAATTACTTTTTATGGAATGAAATTCTTGGGGACAGGAGAGGAGGGAAAGGAAAGGGAGGGGAGGGGAAGGAGGAAGGGGGAAGAGGAAAGGGTAGGAAGAGGGGAAAGAAGAGAGGAAGAAGAGAGAGAGATTACAATTCACAGAAAATAGAACTAAATGGACAACAGAAAGAACATTCAAAACGCTCAGCATCTAAGTGTCTTTATTTGCCAGATTGCATAAACTTGTACCAAGTAAAAATAGCAAATAAAATCTAAAATTGAATAAACTAAATATTTATAGTGTCTCTAGAGAAAACGACTTTATTCAAACATTGAAAGAACATAAGCAATGATTTCCTGCATATATTACATTTTAACTTGAAAATACCGTAAACTGCCAACAGATTCAAGTGCAAATTCAGAAAGTATTAGAAGACTTTTTAAAACCAACCAGGCCCTATTCAAGAGTTTCACCAAAGATATATTTATTCTTACCTTGTTTAAAAAGTTAGGCTTTATCGCCTATATGCACACTGTAGTTATTTGTAAGAAGAAATGTAGATACAGATGCACAGATTTTCAAGCAGAGTATTATATCTTCAGAATAAAATTCACTAATAGATAAGAATTTACTGAGCTAATTGTGCTTCTTCGTATCATCCATAAATAATGATCAGAACTGTATAAACATACCAATCTAATGGATCGTTCTTCATTCTTAAATTATCCCTTGGAAAATATCCCGGTGGATAGCAAAGATTGTGATACTGATCCCACAGGATCCGCTTATTCCGAGGAGGGGTTGGGACAATTTTCACTTTGATGGGGAGTTTCACGGTTGATGTTTGCTCAGCACCAATTTTTGACTGAAAACAAGCAAAACAAAATCGAACTAATTTCCTGAACAAAACCCATTTTGTAATCCAATCTACTGATAATATCCATCCATACGTAACTACTGCGCTGTTCCATTTCAGGGCAAGCAATGTTATGCAAAAACAGAATAAGCAATAAGAAACAGCAAACCCAAGAATTTAAGGCTTGAGATAAGAAACAGAAGAAATATAGCTATGCAGTTAATACCAACGATGTTTTACAACACCTCTTCATAATGTCCTCTTCTTACAAACCAGTCTTGTTTTAATCATACCCATGCACTGTTTCCTACGCATGCTTTAACTGAAGGAAGCAACTATACTTCAATTATCTGAAGCTTGTGCATGTGTGCTTTTGAACATTTCAAAACAACTTTTAGGATCCTTCCGAAAAGTTCTGAAGATTCTTAGTCTACAGATCTTACTAGAGGGTGTTGTGTAGTGAGAAGTTATCTCCTTTGGAGAGCCAAACCAATGGATGCCCATGTTATAATGAGGCTACCTGTCCCTCTGAGGCAGTGTTTGCCCATGGCCTCAAGCATGCATACATCAAAACAAGGCAATGATCTTTAAAAGGTTCAGCCAACCTCATTCTCTGCTGGGGAGGAAATGGTGATCATCACGTGGCCTTGCGCTACGCCTTCCCAACCGGCTGCTTTCTTGGTGACGGAGATGGAAATGGCGAGATACCCTGACCAAGGCCATAAAACAGGAGAGTAGGAAAACGCCACCTCGATGTAATCTCCGTTTTGTGGCAAATAGGGCTGCCAATCCGGCTACAAAGGATAAAATAGAAAGTAAATTGATCAAAATACTGAGGCCGCAGATGCTAAAAAATTGGAGAAGCAGAACAGTGAACACAATACTGGTTAGAACATAGAATAACGTAGCATAACAGAGTTGGAAGGGACCTTAGAGGTCATCTAGTCCAATCCCCTGCCCAAGCAGGAGAGTCTATACCAGGGTAGGCAACCTTGGCTCTTTTATGACTCGTGGACTTCAACTCCCAGAATTCCTCAGCCAGCATGGCTCAGCTTGGAAACCTCTCCCTTTCCTCTCAGCGTGGCTGGCTCAGGAATTCTGGGAGTTGAAGTCCACGAGTCATAAAAGAGCCAAGGTTGCCTACCCCTGGTCTATACCATTTCAGACAAGTGGCTGTTCAGTCTCTTCTTAAAAACCTCACTGGATGGAGCACCCACAACTTCTGGAGGCAAGATGTTCCACTGATTAATTGTTCTTATTGTCAGGAAAGTTCCAGGTTGCTTCTCTCCTTGATTAGTTTCCATCTGTTGCTTCTTGTTCTACCTTCAGGTGCTTTGGAGAATAGCTTGACCCCCTCTTCTTTGTGGCAGCCCCTCAAATACTGGAATGCTGCTATCATGTCACCCCTGGCCCTTCTTTTCACTTAGTTCGTCTCATATGTTGTATGGTTTGGATTTCTTTCTCTCTTTTTTTGGCTAGGGGTCACGTTTGCAGCAATTTATCACACTGAGGCAAATGTGATCATTTCAAAAAATGTGAAATACTTAATTTTAAGGATTGCATCCAATCATACTACTTCTCAGGATAGACAATAAATGAAAAGAGTAGAACGAGGCAATAATAAGCACAGGGGATACAAATATACAGATAGCCCTGTGAAAGCAAATGGGATGGGGATTGCTGTTGATAAGAGAGCCATGGTGGCGCAGTGGTCAGAAGGCAGCATTGCAAGCTGACTCAGTGCTCACTGCCAGCAGTTTGATCCTGACTGGCTCAAGGTTGAGTCAGCTTTGTATCCTTCCGAGGTTGGTCAAATTAGGACCTAGATTGTTGGGGGCAAAAGGCTGACTCTGTAAACTGCTTAGAGAGGGCTGTAAAGCACCGTGATAAGTGATGCAGTAGTTGTCCTTTAGCCTGGCTCGGTTTCTCCAGCTCCTACCTTGTCTACAATTCTCCCAGTGACTCCCATTCCATTCAGGATGGTGACGTTGACAATTGTGGGCATGCCTCCGTAGTAGATGGGCTGAGAGCAATACGGCCACATGTAAGGGCATTCCGTCAAGTCAATGTAACTTGGACTCAGGCTAAAGGGAAAATACAATGGGCAGGCATAAACACATGAGAAGCAATAAACATACACGAAATACTTTTATGTTTCACCGACCAATGAATGTTGTTGGCCTTTAAACCGGAAATGTAGAGGTAGTTCTCAACTTACAACTATTCCCTTAAGAGGCCTTTCAAAATCTCAGCACTGAAAAAAGTGACTGGTTTTCATACCTAGGACCCTTGCAGCATCCCCACGGCCACACAATCAAAATTTGGGTGCTCGGGAACTGGCATTTACTTAGGACAGCCCACTGTCCTACTGTCATGTGATCACCATTTAAAACTTCCCAGCTGGCTTGTCAAGTGTGAAAATTTTGGCAGCTACGTGCCTCTGCGTTTCAACAGGATTTGCAGCCAGCTTGTTTATTTTTCCAACGAAAAGGTCTGGTCTGAGCTGTTTGTCTGGAAAGAAACTCACCTGGCCTGCGGCTTGTAACTGTTGAGAATCTGATAGGCTCTGAGAAGATCAAGTTTGCCATGCCCTTGTTCAAACATGTTGATCCCGGGAAGCCGGCGTGCCGAGGCAATCAGAGCCTGTTTCATACTAGCTGGATTCACCATTTCACGCTTCGGAACTGTGCTAAAAGCCAGAAACAGCTGAAATGTTGAGTCTGATAGTGCTGAAGTTTTAAACGAAGCAGGAGCGATTCATTGTGTTACTAATAATACCACTCTCATTATTATTGTACAGATAGTCCTCAGCTCATAACCATCTGTTTAGTGACCATTCAAAGTTACAACAGCATTGAAAAAAATGACTCATACGTGTCTTTTTACATTTATGACGGTTGCAGCATCCCCGTGGCCATGTGATCCAAATTCAAACAATTGGCAACTGGCTCATCCTTACGTCAGTTGTGGTGTCCTGGGATCCCATGATCGCCTTCTGACAAACGAAGTCCATGGGGAAGCCGGATTCACTTAACAATGGTGTTACTCATTTAACAACCACAGCCATTCACTTAACAACTATGACAAGAAAGATCATAAAAGGGAGCAGCATTCCCAACAACTGCCTTGCTTAGCCACAGAAACTTTGGACTCAATTGCAGTCGTACGTTGAGGACTACCTGTTGAAATTCATGGTGGACATGCTTACATTATAGGCACGATTGGATTAAACACAGGAAAAAGAGTAGTGCTTTTTTTTAAAAAAGAAAAAAGATGGGAAAATTTGTCTAAGGTCTGGCCCAGGGGTAGGCAACCTTGGCTCTTTTATGACTCATGGACTTCAACTCCCAGAATTCCTGAGTCAGCTATGTCCATGAGTCATAAAAGAGCCGAGGTTGCCTACCCCTGGTCTGGTCAAAGTTTGGGAAAATGTACTCAAATCTGATCCAAACCTAAAAATTATAAACTTTTAAAAAAATAATGTAAAAACCCAAAGTGTACATATTTTTTGCTTCTACAACATTCTCAAATTTGCCTTTTTGCGTATGATTTTGGTAACAGACTCTGAACGATATGCCCTGTTTATTTCTCTATTCCTCTGTGCCATGTACAACAGCAACATCCAAAGGTGTAGCAACAGGAATATACCCTAATATGCAATAACTGAATGCCAACGATGAAATGTCAGGGGGAAAAAAATAATTCCAATAATGTTCCTGGCAGGAGGAACTCTATCACATTCCAATTTGAAAATCCTTTTGGAGCAGTTAAGCTTTCACAAGGTTCCAGAAAATCCGAAGTGTGAAATCGATTCTTGCCTCTGAGATCAAGAGGCTTTGTGCTGTAATGGATTTGACACTGGCATGCTCTTTCCTCTGAAAATACATCCAGTACTGATTTGTAGAATGCAGAATGCAGTATTGCAGGCTAACTCTGCCCACAGAAAGGAGTTCGATCCTGACCGGCTCAAGGTTGACTCAGCTTTCCATCCTTCCGAGGTTGGTAAAATGAGGACCCAGATTGTTAGGGGCAACAGGCTGACTCTGTAAACTGCTTAGAGAGGGCTGTAAAGCACTATGGAGCTCTATATAAGTCTCACTACTTGCACACCTCTATCCAAAATTGACCTGCTGATACTAACAGAGCAGGCCAGCTCAACTGTAATTACAGTTCAAAAGAGTAGAAGTAAGCAAGTATGCTAGAACGGTTTTTGAGCTGTTTTAAACATTACTGCAATACATGTCAAACTCGCGACGTCACATGATGTCATTGCCAGCAATGGGGTGGGTGCAGCTTCCGTGTGATGCATCTGGCCCATGGGCGGCAGTTTGATACCCCTGCTCTATGTGAAGCAGGGCTTCCAAGATTTAAAACAACCTCACCACGGCTTAAAAAATTGCCCTCTTTTAAAATTGCATTTCCCGGAATGCAATTGGCTTTCCTCAGTTGTCCTGAGGTTTGAATGATGATGAACCGATGCAGCTTCATCCGAGAAGCCTGGGGATTGTCTTTTGATGGAGCACGTACCTTACTAAAAGCGTGACAGCACCTGCCACAACAGGAGAGGCCACACTTGTGCCGGAGAGCGAGCGGCAACCCCCTTTCATGCCGGATCCTCTCACTCCAGAGCCGTACGTCACGATATCAGGCTTGACTCTCCCATAACCTCCAGGAAGTTCCTAGGGAGAAAAGTCCAATCATCGAGCAGATGGCTTTACGCTCACTCTTCAATTGAATGAGATTTACACCAACTTCCATCAAAAGTGAAGCTGCGCTTTCCATATGGCGTGTAAAGTGATGGAAGACCATGCACCAGGCTCAACCTTTGAGTGCCTTCGCATCACCCTGAGCACGATGCCCCTACAAAGGTACTCACCCATGTGGTCATCCCTCTGGAGGAGAACCGAGCGATATTATCTTCAAAGTCGATGCCACCAACTCCAATCACATCCATTTGGTCAGCTGGATTGTTGAGTGTGCTGAAAAAGAATGTATATTTTTTATTATTGATCTACTACTGTCCAAGGAGATGAGGGCAGTACCTGGAATTCTGCCCTTCTCCCTACTAGCTCTTTTTTAAAACTTCACAATAATCCTGCGAAGAAGTAAAAAGCACTCACTATACAATTCCTTTGTCCCCCTATATGGATATTATATTTCTGAAACAATTATATTTCCTTTTTACTTGTTCATTGATTAATTTTGTTTAAAAAAATAATCCTGCAAAGAAATTTAAACCATGTCCCCCTGATCACACATTATTTTAAATTCTATCACGTATGTATTATAGCACATGTTCTAAGATGAAGGATTACATTGAAAAGAAATCAAGCTATTTGGGGAAAAAATCAACATTGTTTTTTAAAAATGGCAAAAGCATTTCTTTATTGTAAATTTACTCTGAAAGAATACATCTCTGCTCAAAATATATATATGAAAAACACTACTTACCCATACAAAGGACCATCATTTCCAATAGCAGAGATCATGATAACGTTATTGGCTGTCAATTCCCACACCTTGGAAATGAAAATAATCAGATGTTAGAAACACAGGGATTAGCTACCTCAAGACTTAATATTCAGAGAAGGTTATATTGTAAAGCAATCCAGGTTTGATTGTATTGATAATAATAGCACTGTATTCCCCATGCTATTATTATTTTGTGTAAAACCAAAATACTGAATTATTGAACTAAATCTTCTAAGACGAAAGGAGAAAAGGTCTAATTGCTATCCATCTCTTTTTCCCCCACCCCCCACGCTGTACCAACCTTGTCTACAAACGGACGGTCCATAAAATCTGGGCCTCCAATGCTAAGATTCAACACTTCTATCTTCTTTAAGATAGCATAGTTGAAAGCATCCAAAAACCAAGAGGTATATGAAACCTATTTAAAAATGAAACAGGTCTTAATATTAAGCATCACAACAATAAAAACAATCCTCAAGGCGTTATCTGCCTCCTGGCCTCTTCACGCACATAGAAATTAAGGCGACAGGGAGGTTCCCTGTAATGACCCCAGTATTATAAAGAACTTTGCCCTGGGAAGGGAAGGGAAGGGCAGTAGAAATTCTGGCAGATGCAATCTCCCTGTACCTGGAGAACACCAGCTTAAGGAATGCTGCACTGACTTCTCGTTAGATTTACATGTCGCCTCTTCTCCAGGTACTGAAATGGCACCTGCAGCATTCCCTCCTCCCATTTTTATTTCCATCACAAACTTAGGAAATAGATTAGGGACTGGTCCAAGGGCCTCCAGGGAGCTTCCACGACTTGGGATGGATTGCCCCCCCCCCCAGTCTTAATCTAACTCCCTAACACTATGCTATGTATTGCTCCTCTCTTTACCTGATTATTAGTGAAGACCCTGAATATATGCAGTTCGGAGTCTGGAGCAAATCCTTGGCACTCCCTCATGCTAGCTATCACGCCTGCGACAAAGGTTCCATGGCCCAGCCCTGTCGAAGATAAGCCATCAAATAAAATTCAGTAAGATGCTTTGATATGCTGCCGTCTGGCCAATTGTGGCTATGGAGGAGGAGCTAGTTTTGTGGTGAGAAAAGGAGAAGAAATGAGGAACCTGTCAAGATTCAAGGAACCAAGCCAAACACACAAACATACTCCAAGGAGCAAGACAGGGGAGAACTGGAGAAGGAAAGATCTCACGGTGCAAACAGAATAAATATAAAGGTTTTCCTAATCCAGCCTCTGTGATAGGCAGAGGCCAGTAAAAGATGTTCTGAGACTGCAGTAGGAAAAAAAAAATATTCACAAAGTTTGACACTATGCAGGTTTCTTTTTGTTTTTACCATCATCCAGAGTTCTCTCGTTTGTCCAGTTTGTCCTCTCTTTTACATTTTTGAAGTGTGGATGTTTCTCGCTGAGTCCAGTATCAAAGACAGCCACTCTTACACCACCTCCTATTTGTACAAAAGAAGGTTTACACAATCAAGGATTAGTACGAGAGATCCAGTTCTGATGGTGTTTTAAGAAACAATTCCTGCATGCCTACACTGTACAGAGAAATACATAATACCGATGCATAAAAGCTTTATGGAAATATTTTATGGAAATGTTTTCTCTGCCTCAGCAGCCTTACTGAGATAGGTAGACTTCAATTCCCAGAATTCCCCAGCCAGCAACACTTCTCTGGTCATGTGGTCAGCATGACTATACACCAACAATGTTTAATCTTTTCTTTTCTACTAAAAAAGAAAACTCTAACCTTCCTAGCCAAAAGTTAGCCATGCTATAATTAAGCCCTATTGTAACTATGAAGAATGTACATGGCACCTACCAACAGGCCTACCTGTAAAGCCCATTTGCCAGAGCACGTCTGCCTGAAGGGTCTGTGCCACCTGCCGAGGGATGGCTCTCAGCAAGCGCCTGCTGGAGTGCCTGCCCGTCGCGTGCCAAAAGCCGGAGCCCAAAGACAGGCTCGCCCTTCGGAGGGGGCGGGATGACTGCCACTTCTGCGTCCATCGGGTCTCATTACAGGGAGCGGCGGAATCTGCTGGGGGGTTGAGAAGTACAGACATGTCACTTTACCAATTAGAGTAGAGGCCCCCAAGCTTTTGGGAAAGTTTCACAAGTTTAAGTTGTGTTCGCTCAAAGATCATTTAGGGATTTGCTTAAACCCCAATAAAAATCGTAGTAAAATCAGGTCCAGTCAATGTGATGATTCGTTTAATGGCCACAATGCCCTTAAATTCTGAAATTCTACTCCCAGTTGTGCTTGTGAGTCAGGGATTACCTATACATAAAGCATAATGCTGATTTTTGTAAACAAATTCATAAAAACTGTGTATCTCTGGCGATAATCTATTAATTGTTTCTAAATTGCCCTAGTGGCATTTTCAGCCTTGGCAGTTGGACGAAAACATGTAGTCGGTGATTATCTTGGACATGCCTTGACTCCACCCTTGTAAGGTTGAATGGGCAGGTTCTCTGTCCTGATAACATTCGCAGTAGTTTCAAACTGAAGTTCAAGGTGAAAGGCATGGCCAAAGACCCAGCATAATCTCTGACAAGGCCAAAGCAAGCAGGCCAAACTGAAAGAGGAATAAAAATAAGACTTTGTGGACTCTGCAGCCATAGATCCGGGCAGCAGAGGCCTTTTCCAGCGGCCATGGATTTGAGCTCTGGAGGCTTGGAAAAGGCCTCTGCTGCCCGGATCAGCCATGGGGGGACTGCAAAATTGCTCTGCAGCCATAGATCCAGGTGGCAGAGGCCTTTTCCAGGCCTCCGGAGCCCGGATCGGGCTGCTGGGGCGCCGCATAATCGCTCTGCAGGCATACCTGGAACGGCTCTGCGTGCCGCCTGTGGCACGCGTGCCATAGGTTCGCCACCATGGAGCTATTCTATACCTGTAAAGCCTTACTTTTCTCTATACTGAATTTTGTTTTTAAAAGGAAATTCATTTTTAAAATGTGGTTTTAAAAAGCAAACTTAGTTTTGGAAACGGCAAAATTCCAGAGGAAACGAATGAGGACTGGCCAATTCTTCCCAGGAACAATTCACTGAAATGCCGAGCATGCTTACTCTCAGTGTACTTTAGCGAGCGAAAGACTTTTCTCTGTGGCGTAACCCGTTTGATATTGGGATGGTCTTCAAGCGTCTGCACTCCAACTTTCTGATTCTCGTCAATCTGGATCACTTCAAAGTCACTGGGGTAATCGCTGGCTGGGTTGTTGCGGGGCACAATCCTCCAGCTTTCTATGTCGCTGTTCTTGAGTGCTCTTGAAATGAATTTGCTTCTTGCTTGGGCTGAGAAGTAGCCATTGAAAGCCACGATGTATTCTGCAAAGGGACAGTTTATCACATATTAGAAAAGGCAACGGAAACTTTAAAACTGTTTGGAATCTAAAGCCTTTTACTGGAACAAGTTCGGGAACGGCCAGCAAATCAACTCCTCTAAGGAGACACGGAGGGAAGTGCCAGATCCCACAAGCACAAACAATGGGGAAACCAGCAGGAAGTCAGAAATCACTCTGGCCACTTTTAGGCCTGCCTACATTCCACACAGCCTGTCCCAGCCGCACTCCGGAGTACCTGTTCCAGCACCCTGGCCGATTTCACAGGAAGTTTGCCATTGCTTGCTTCTAAGGGCCAAGAGAAAATGGCTGGCCCAAGGTCACCCAGCAGTTTTGCGTCTAACGTAGGACTAGAACTCTTTGCTTCCCTATTTCTAGCCTGGTGCCTTAGCCGCTATACCAAACCGGCTCCCTCATTAATTATTACAGATTATTAAATCTGACTATGTAAATGCGTTGATGCAGGATCACCTCGATGCATTTGCTGTTCACACAGACTGATGAGTCCTGACACAGCAAGCCCCAACACATCTGTAACTGTAACATGTTGTGGCAGATGCTCAGCCGGGATCCAATATTCCCCAAGATTAGAAAGCTGGAAAGTTAACGGCTGCAATCCATGATTCATCTCTGGCTTAGCGCGAAACAGATTTCATACACCACCCAGAAGGTGTACTTTGCCGACTGGGACAAATAGTTAATAATGAGCTAGACGTAGCCAAGGTCAGAGTCTCCAAGGCCAGTTATGTTATTTGGCCTCCTGAGGACAACAATCCTACAATAATAAAAATATGCTGCAAATAAATTACTCAGCCTTTTGCTGCCATGATAAAGTTTCTCTACTACGCGTATTTATATTTATATAAATATTTATATATTTATATTTACATTCTATTTGCATTTTCCAAAGGCTCCGGTCAACCTGCTGCAAAGAACTCCTTACCGTGTTTTACGACGGTTGACGAGAATTCCACCTTCAGGGTCAGATGAGAGCAGTCGGGGCACAAATGACTGTCGTGAGAGGAGGAATTCCCCAGCCTGGTGCCCAGGTGGTGTTTGCCACAGAGTAAGATTGCAGTGAGAAACAACCAGGTGTTTGCAAGCCGCATGTTCAGGAAAGGAGGAGGTTTCATTTCCAGTTTGCCATGGATTCAATTCACACAGTGATTCTCCATGAACCAGTTCTTTCTCGTTTTCTCCCTCAGTCTCTGGGTTTCACGGAAAGCCGCTCTTTTTAAGTGCTCTTTAAGTTGACAGCGCTAAAGTTTTGTCCCAGCCAAGCAAAAGTCTTGTCTGCATAGTCTTTCCGGATGAAGCCTAATCATCAGGCTGATTTCTTCCTCCGTTTTTTCTCCATTTTTCATCACAGGATCCTGTCACTCGGGATTCAACAGGTCAGCCATGGACTCCATTTCAGATATGACCAAGCGGAAACTAAGCCAAAATTTAGGGGTAAGGGTCACCGTTCATATTCTTTTCAGATGCAACCTGTAAAAAATAAACATATGAGTTAAGTATTTGTTAACAGATTGACATGGTGATAAGTATCTGGGCTGCAATGCCATGACAACCTGTGGAAGGGCACTGGGAATAAGGATCGTAAAAACAGATTGTGACTGCCTCACACTTTAAAAAGATCCACATTCCACTGGTTGTAGGTAAGCTACAAGGCCAAACAGGGTCAGTTTGGTGAAGTGGATAAAAGCACCAGGCCACGATCCCAAATCCTTAATCTCTACCCGATACTACACCGATACCAAACAGCACCAGTTTAATTGGAGCAACACTAAAATCATCGGCCTCGCTACTACCCACCACGCTCGTGAGTTCATCGAAGCCTGGCACTCCACAAGCAATTCCATCAACAACATTGACCCACAACCAGCCTACCAACCCCTGGAACCCAAATCAACCGCACAGCCCAGCAGGGACGGCACTGACCCTCAACCCACCCATGCAAGCCTTTCGACAACCAGCACTCCACCTCTCAATGACCCTGACCTGATGTAACTTCCCCATCAAAAAACCCATCACAAGCCTCTCACTGATGACTCACACCTGATTCATCACAAGACCCTCACTTAACACACCCACACCTGAAGCCCTTATAAACAGGAAAACACTGACATCCCCCTAAACCAGGGGTGTCAAACTGCAGGCCAGTTGCATCCCAGCTCCGGCACTGCAAAAAAAGTTGTGATACATCGTAACACGTCACGTGACGCTGCACGTTTGACACCCATGCCTTAAATTATCCTGAAGGTTACCTAGCCTGGTAACGAAACGTTCACAAACCAACCCACAAGCTCGGAAAACGAACCGTCGCCTTCATCCTACACCCAAGCTACAGATATTTGCCGTGAATGCTTGTAAGTTGAGAACTACCTGTACTGAACCGGCTGCAATGTGCTTTTTCACCTGAACTGGATAAGAAGTACTACAGGAATTAGATCAGGATATTCTAAACGGAAAAGAGCTTCAAATAGCTATAACTTATTTACTTTGGACAGGTGACTCAGAAACTAGCTTGAAGCTATTTACACAGTGGCTACATAAATCTTGCCAGTGAAATATGCAACTTAGCAGGATGGGCCAAAGGTAATGTCAAAAATAGATTCACTAACAAGAAGAGGCTAGAGGAAAGGAAAGTGGTAAACAATAGCCAAGAAGCCAAGTCTACAGTCCAGCCGACCATCCGACAAAAAGAGCAAAAACTAAAAAGCCAGATTATAAGACATCCACACCCTTCCACCCACTAGAGTGAGGAGGCAAGGAATGTTGTGGGTCCCATCTGGCGGGACTGGAAGGACCTTCTCCGTGGTGGCTCCCTCCCTCTGGAACATCATCCCTCCGGAAATTAGACTGCCCCCCCACTCGGACACTCTTTCGGAAGGCCCTGAGGACATGGTTCTGCCAGCAGGCCTGGGGAGCCCAGAGTGGGATGGAGCCCATTAAATGGCTGGTTATGAGTGTGTGTTGTCGCTGAGGTGGGATGGTTTTTTTTAAATTTTATATTATTTTATTTTATTTACTTTTTATCAGATAAGATAACCTTATTGTCATTTTTTCACTATGGGCACAATGGCACACATCAAAAATGAAATTTAGTTGCCCGTTCTCAAAGTGAAACACATACATGAGTCACACCTAAAACATACTATGTACAACATATGCATAGACCTATTACTTCAGTTTTTTCTACATTGTGTTTTTATTACGAGCAAGCTACCTAGAGTCACTGTGAGAGAGGAGGCGGCCATCTAAATTATCGAAAAGAAATGCATCAGTGCTAATGTAGCTTCAAATGATGGCTAAACAAATACAGGTAGTCCTCAACTTACAACCGTTCATTTAATGACCCAAGTTACAGTGACACTGGAAAAAAGTGACTTATGACCATTTTTCACACTTATGGCCGTTGCAACCTCCCCACGGTCACGTGATCAAAATGCAGACAGTGCCTGGCAACTGACTCATATTTATGACGGTCGCAGTGTGTGTGGGGGGGGTCACGTGATCCCCGTTTTGTCATCTTCTGACAAAGCCAATGGGGAAACCCAGATTTCCTTAGCCCCCATGTTACTAATTTAACAACTGCAGTGTTTCACTTAACAACTGGGCAGAAAAGGTGTAAAATGGGGGCAAAACTCGGCCAACGTTTCCCTGAGGCACAGAAATTCCGGGCTCGGCTGTGGTCGTAAGTCGAGGACCGCCTGCAGTGCCGGCCCCTTCCGAAGTCCTGACGGGGGACCCTGCAGCCGCCGGCCGAGCGGAACCGGGCCGCGAAGTCCAAGCGGGGCCTGAAGGGCAGGCCCGCTCCCTCCCCACGGCCCGCTCCGACTCACCGCCGCCTCAGCGCTTCGGGGCCTCCGGCTTCGCGCGACGAGCTCCGGGCCGAGCGCGCTTCCCGTCAGCCAGACAGACCCTCAGCTCCGTCCCAGCAGCGTCGGAGAAGCTCCGTCCGTGAAAAACGGGCGACGGCGAAGCGCGGCGCCTTCTGGGACGGGTAGTCCTGGCGCCGTTTCCCCCCACGAAGAACTGGTCGGCCGGAGGAACTACTTTTGCCAGAGCGCAGGCGTAGTTGCATTCGAGCCAACGGACGGTGGCCGCGTGAGCCTTTTCAGAAAGTGCGCATGCCCTAGGGCGGTTGGCCCTCGGACGCCGCTAGGCATTGTGGGTCATGTAGTCTTGAAGGCAAGCCGGGAGCTCCCGGCAGCCGTCCTCAAACCAGGACGCCCCTTTGGTGTGGACTACAACTCCCAGCAAGTTTCAGCGGCGTTGCTGTGAAGACTAGGAATTGCAAGTTGGAAGCCCCTAAATGCATAGTATCCAACTTGATAAAAAGCTGTTCGTTATATATGAATTTCCCCACAGCAACTGCGAATATTGGAATTTATGCTCTGCCGCGTGATCTGTTATTCTATATGATTATTCTGGATCTATATAATAAACATTTATACCAGCAAGATGCTTATTGTTGCACTGGGAGTTTTTAAGACGACTAGACGCCTCCAAAGTCCTTTTCAGTCCTGATTTTATTGTTCTGTTCTGTTCTACTCTATTCTCCTCTACTAGCATTTATTTTGTCCAGAATAAGGATGCTCAGGAATATTAGATATTTGAATATTAAAATTGTTCTGTATTTTGCCCTTCTGTCCAAAATGCAGAAAACATTTCTATTCATACATCTTTCTGCCATGTAAATTCATTTATTGTATATTTTCTCTTTTGTATTCTTAACTACTCTGTTGCTATGTTTTAAACTCTATGGTTTAGCTCCTATTTTATTTCTATTAGCTGTTGTGATTGCCAGTCTTAATGGAAACAGAATAGTTTAATATATATATATATATATATATATATATATATATATATATATATATATATATATATATATATAAAAAACAAGAACCATAAATATTTCTGTAGGAGTAAGCCTTTACTAGGGCAAACACACATCAGTTCAAGCCACTTGACGTTGTGGCTAAGACTCTAAAAGAAAAAAAGACAACCCAGTTCAGTTTGATATCATGACTATAACTCCAGGTATAATATATGGTAGAAAGTACTAAGTAACATCTGACTTATCTTTTTAAATAGCTTTGCACAGCCAGCAAATTGCCAGTTGAAAGGGAGGGGAAGTATGAACTTATTCATAGGGCTAGATCACTCAAAATCTTGAGAGCTAGTTGTTCATCTAATAACCAGCCCATAATGTGGCATATTTGCCTTTGTTTTAGACTATTAAGAGTTAGTCCACCATGGTTTATGGCTTTTGATGCTGTGTGATCCCATGCAAGTGGGCTTACTCACCAAACCATGGTTCACAAATCAGGGCTAAACAGAGTACACAAACCCAGGTCTACCTGTTTACGGCACTTATTAACTGCTTTACTTTTATATCACTCTACAGTTTTCATTCCTGTATCTCCTGTCCCCAAAATGTTGGGAAACAGAGCTGTTTGTTTTTACCAATCCTTGTTTGATAGTCTCTAAGGATACAAAAAGCAAAGTTAGGGACTCCCTCCACTTTGGTTATCTGTCTTACCTCAGGATCTGAAAATGACTGTGCCCTAATTTCAGAGGGCACATTGAACTCAAAAGATGCCACCAGCAGTTCATCAGCCACCCTGCCTGGGGAGAAGGCCCATATTTCCATGACAGCTTTCACAGAAATTAAGCCTAATTGATGTTCAAGTCAGGTTGTTAAGGAGCCTCTTACAACTGATCAATTAACCCACTTTAGATACACTGGAGGACCACTCTCTTCCCTCCCAGCCAGCAGGATTACTAGGCTGGCAGGGGATAAGAAGAGAAGGAATCTAATACCTCTGGAACAAGACAGTTTGGGAAATTGGTTGTGAGGCTGAAAAGTCAAGGACTCTGGGCCACCCTATCTCCAATATCCCCATGAGACAGCCATGTCAGTTGAGATCCTAACATCTATCCCAGCACTGTCCACTCCCAAGGATGGTTGTAGACACATACAACAACAATATCCTGATAAAGCACAAGGCTGAACTGATTTGAAGAAGGACATCTCTGTTGAACAGTTGTATCTTAGGGTACCTTCCAGGATAATGTTGCATCAAACTCCCATCAGAGATAATTCAACTGGGATTGATGAGTGTTGGAGAAAGTTGATCTACAATGCCCTATTGGCAGATATTTCTTTCTTTTTGCTCTTCTGGAACCCAAGTTCTTCAAGAATTCAATTGCTCCATCATCCAGACAGGTTTCTTGTGTCTTTCACTGAGGAACCATGAAGAATTCTACATAAGTGATGCCTCAGGTTGGAGAATACTATGCCAGCTTACTAAAAGTTTGCTTCAGGTGTCTTCTTTCAGCTACGCCCAAGCTAAACTTCCTTCAAGTCTCAAGTACATGATTTCAAACGAATAATGCAAGCAGAAAGGGATCCGTGTGAAGAAGTAGCTACAGTCAGTCTAAACTTCGAGATGTTATTGGTACTCAAGGCAAGATCATCACAGACATTTTTTTCAAAATGACTTCTGGCAATATTTTATTCTGGGTACCAGCCAAGCCCAGAACCATTCAGGGACAAACCTTGCTAAAATCATCTGTAAGATAAAAGAAGGGGGTTTTTTTTCACACAGAAGAATTCATAAGACAACTTCTTCTACAACTAAAGTGTTAACAATAATTCTGTTTACCATAGTCAAATAAATTAAAATCCAAAATGGTTCAGAATGTGTCTCCATTCCACATTTTCCTACTCCTTATTTTTCAAAAGAAAAGGTAGAAATTTTTATAGACCTTGAGCAATAAAATAAAGCAAGACCTAAGCAACTAAAGGCTTAAACATATGAAGAACAGTTGCAGAAACTGGGAATGTTTAGTTTAACAAAGAGAAAGTCTACGTTTGACATGACAGCGGTCTTCCAGTATTTGAAGGGCTGCCACAGAGAAGAGGGGGTCAACCTATTCTCCAAAGCACCTGAAGGCAGGACAAGAAGCAATGGATAAAAACTGATCAAAGAGAGAAGCAATCTAGAACTAAGGAGGAATTTCCTAACAGTTGGAAAATGGAACATTTCTTCAGAAAACCCTTGTATAAATATGGCAACACATACAAAAACTTCACAGTGCAATTCATCTCTAACCTACACAATCCACATTTTGCTGCAATATAAAACAGCAGGCTGGCAGCTGAGTTGGGGGTGGGTACAAATTCCCGGCAACACAAAGACTAGCTAACATTGTGTGGTGTGGGCTAAGTTCAAAACGTGCTGGGTTATTTTTATTTTTTTCAATCTCTCAGGGAATCTCATGTAAGAAAAGGCTGCTTAGCTCATGTTTTAAACTCCTGCCCAATCTTGGATTGGCTCTTTCTGGCGATGAGAAGACAAAATGTAAAGAAGCTATGGAAAAAAGCATTCTTACCAGGAGCGTATGCGGCCAGTATCCTGTCGTTCTTCGGGAGACACCGAGGGTGGTGACTGCGTGACGGACATACTCATCAGGAGAAGGCACAAAAAAGCTCATTTTGGAGAGGGTGCTACTCAGCGTTGTCACATCGGTGCAAACAAAGAATGGAATTAAGCTCTGAATGAAAATGCCCTGGGAGGCATATTCATAGTGAAGTGATCTGCTGAAGTGATCCAGGTAAGTCTGTGGAGAATAAAGGATGGGGAAGAAAGAAATGAAACTCTGAGTTTAGACCATATAGGAGGGGGCCAAGGGTAAGGGTGGAACACAGCTTGACTCCCCTAGACCATTTGTGGAACGTAACGACTCTAGGCTGCTGACATGCTTAACTCCACCCTCACCAGCTCTGCCTTCTCTTCTCCTACAATTGCTCTCCTTTTAGTACCGACTTGATAGGCAAATTGTACTAAAAGGATAAGATGAGGGAGCAATCACCTCATGTGCCCTCCTGAGTCTGGTTAGGAAATCAACACCCACAGACATCCTTTTTCCCTGTCGACATATACCTTGGAGGCCGAATACGCTGTATACCGAGGACAGGGATTGCAGCAGCTGAGAGAAGAAACGTTGACAATGGCCCCCTTCTTCCTCTGCACCATGCCTGGCAACACCAAGTGTGCCATCATGTTGGCAGCTCCAATATTTACATTGATGAACTCCCAAACCTGAGACTCTGTCAAACTGGTGAAGGAATCAGGCAGAGGGCTGAGCACCCCAACGTTGTTCACTAAGACACCAATCTCTTTGCCTTCCAGAGCCTTCTTGATGACCGGATAGGCCTCACGGCCCTTGCTAAAATCTGTCATGACCGTCGAGGTGCTGATGTTGTAAGTCTCCATGATCTCTTTAGCGGCAGCTTCTAATTCTTCCCGGTTCCGGCTAATCATGATGAGGTTGACTCCATAACTGGCCAACTCTCTGGCGTAGGAAAGGCCGATGCCTGAGGTTCCTCCTGCAAGGAAGCAGAGACTCATGGGCCACAGAGCCAACCCAGCAGAGAAAAGGAGGCAGAAGGCAGAGGAGGAGACAGGAGATCCCCTTGCCAAGAAGGAGCAATCGATAACCCAAACCAACCAACATTTACCAGTGTTTTTCAACCTTGGCAACTTGGAAGACTTCAGTTCCCAGAATTCCCCAGCCAGCCTTTTTCTGGCATTCCACATTTCAGCTACAACAAGAGTTGAGCCCAACATTTCTGTTGCTAAGTGAGACAGTTGTTAAACTGTTTTGCCCCCATCTTACAACCTTTCTTCTCAGAGTTAAGCGAATTGCTGCAATTCTTAAATTAGTAACGCCGTTGTAATCCAGCTTCCCATCGACTTTGCCTGTCAGGATCACATGACCCCAAGACACTGCAACCAACATAAATATGGACCAGTTGCCAAGTATCCAGATTAGGGATGCTTTTTTCAGTGCCAACGTTGTAGCTTCAAATGGTCACTAAACAAGTGGTTGTAAATTGAGGACTTCCTGTACTTGGAATGTCCAGTATCCTTCTGTGACATCAGAGCATTTCAGCCAATGATTCCAGTGCTTCCAGCAGCTAACAGTTAGCTTAGCTGCCTGGGAATTCTGGGAATTGAAGTCCACAAGTCTTAAAGTCACCCAGGTTGAGAAACACTAGCCCAGGGGTAG